AAAAAAGCTCTCTAATCTCTCCAGTAACAGAATATCCATTTACGTGAGACAACTTCTGGAAGCAATAAAGGTGCCTATCTGTGAAATGCCCAGGATAGGTTTTCATTTAGAAAAAGACCATTTTCTATTTAAGACATTTCACTCAACTAGAGACTCTAAAAGATCAAATATCACACTATAGGTTCTCCTTCATGCTCTGCAAAGGAGGCCTTACACACAAGCTGCTTTAAAGCACAGTTCTACTGATGTCATCTGCCAGAGAAAAGCACAGTGGGGCTCTTTGACCTTGGAAAGCAAAGCACACTGGCAGGTTGCTAGAAGCCTGTGGGTAGTATCTAAAAGGGATACAAATATTTATGTCCATTGTATATTTTCCCCTAAAACCCTAATACCTCAAAATCTTAGCTTAACACCTAAATTCCCCAAGAGGTGTGGAAGCATTTGAAAGCTATTCTCTCTAACTTGCCATTTTTCTCAGTGAAATTTTAGGCATCTGAAAAATCAGATATGTAGCTCATTGATTTTCCTGCTGTTAATAGAGGGAGACAGAGAAACAGATACACCAGTTTGTTCCACTTAGGTGCGCAACTCTTCCCAGCACTCCCAGGGAGTTACCAGGCAGTGCTGGCATTGTCTGGCATTCACCTCAGTGTGGTGGATGCACGTTGGGGAGAGCAGGAGGCACTACTGTGGTGCCAGATATGCACTCTCTGCAGGCTGTTGTGGTTACAACTTACTTTTCTCTTGGCCATGTTACCCACAATTCTGGTTGCACAGCAAGTCAGGTTTGAGAAAAGGAAAACTATCAACTGTACCAAGAGCTGACACTTAAAGCAAATGTCCAGCTGAAATACAAGCAATCTTGTACTGTCTGTCACCACTGTTCTTGCTCCTGCCTCAGCTGCAGAGCTATGCAAAGTTGGATATGATCACAAGTACTTAGGGAATTTGTGGCTGGATCAATGAGCGACACATTTTCCAAGCCATAAAATAGTCTACTAAAACCAAAGCTGGGGCTCAATATTGCTTCCTATTCCTAACTGCTTAGGTTTAAGCACAATTGCTTTCCTTGTCGATGGGAAGATTTTCCATCACTGAAAGTTAGGATTTTGTTTTAAAGCTTGAAACTGTATGATTTGCTAGATTAGAATTGGGCCTAAATATTAAAAAAAATCATGAAAAAGAAAACTCAAGTGATTAATGACCTAAATATCATTTCCAGAAATGTCTCAAAAGTATTGTCTAATTTCAGAATCCCAAATCATAGCACCTAAGAACTCTCTAGATCTTTGAGTTCTACCTATCTCTTCATTTCTTCTAATTCCATAATGAAATAATAACAATTTCTAAAAAATAAAATAAAATTTAAAAAGTAAAAGAAAAGCTTAAAGCTGCTTGCTCTTCTCCTTATTACAGACATTTCTTTAACACCCTGATGGTAGGATCATTCCAGGTAGCCATCTAACTTGTAGGCTAGATTTCATTGCTACCTCTGTATGTAAGTGCTCAGATTCCCTCTCTCACTGATACCCTCAGCCTAAAGAAAGATTAGAACCAGATTTTACACTTTTGAGACAAGTACCATAAGTGGAAGCACATGATTAAAAGGATGAGTAACATCCCCTTCACCATCACCACTATCTCCCCTCTGCTTTGGAAGGAATTCAGTGTTGCTGCAACCACAGTCACCAAACTAACTCCTCTCAGAACCTGGAATTTGGCATCTATTCCACTATGTCTGCTTAACAATGGCTGTTAAAGCAGACATAAGTCTGTAGCATTCTCTGGTAGCTAAAAGCCTAGATTTCACATCTGCCTCACCATAGGAGGAATTTACTAAGCCCTAGGAACAAGTTTGATACAGCAAAACAGAAGAATAAAGGTTTGAATTAATATATCTCCACTGCTTGGTTTACCTTTCTGTAGATTGAACATCTTCATACCTCAATTTCAATAAAAAGGTTGTTTGTGCAAATGCAACTTCAAGAATACCCTCAGTGGTTGGTCATCAGAATAGTTCTCCCTCCTCCATGTCTATACAGCATGGATCTCCACTGCTCCTAGGAACACAGACGTCTAGTGCTCACCTAGTGAATCCCACTGCACATGATTTAGCTCCAGGTTCCCAAAGTTTCCTTGCCTGTTATTTCCATGACTGGAATTCCCAAAAGATGTCAAAAGCAAATCCTACCATTATATGGAGGTGTTTTGTTTGTTTGTTTATTTAGTTTTGTTTGGCTTTGGTTTGGTTTTGGTTGGTTTTTTTTGTTGTGTTTTTTTGTTTGTTTGGTTTGTTTTCTTTTGTTTGCAGACTACAGGCTAACAGGACAGGATAATGCTCCTAATTTCCAGGCCACTTGAAATTAGTTATTACAGTATCTTTCTAGGCAAAGTGGACCTTCACTGTCTACAATTTTCTCTTAGAGCTAATTAATTCCTGAAGACACTAGAGCTTATATGGCAAACTGACTAACCCATACCATAATGAGCAGTAACTGCTTGGACTCTCAAAATAGCTTAAGGAATAATACATGCTAACCACACATATCAAAACGTTGTGCTATTAGTCAGTGTTACAGGCATGTTAATTACTCTTTCCATCGTGTGTGTATTATAATGCTAAAAAAATTTATTTTTTAATAATCAAGCCACAGAATGGAGGCTGAGATCACAAGAGTCTGGGTTACAAGAGTCTGAACTAAAGCCACAAAAGTTAAAATGGAAATTCTGAACGAGATTCCATTCCAACCTACGTGTTTTATTTTGTTTATGAAATAACTAATTCAGTGGCTGAAAAAGTAATTGAAAGACTTTCTTGAAAAGGAAGAGTGAATACCACTGAAGCCCTACATTTCATATTTCTTTCTCAAAACAGCTGTCAGAAAATAGCAACACTAAGAGCTCACTAAAAAACAAACAAACATGAAAGTAATGGATAAAGTAGCAGATGAAGCTTTTACTTAATGTGATAATTCCTGTCTTTGAAAAGGCATACAACTAAAACAGCAGTAGAAAAGTCTTTTTAAGAATTCACCTTCCAATCAGTAAGGCAGATGGTCAAAGCCTGGCTAGGGCCAGCACCATGTGTAGCCAGTTCCTAAACTCTGCTCACTGCAGAGTGAACTCGTGAGTAATTGACAACTACAGGTATGTGAGACAAATCACAAACGTGCTTATCAAGGGAAAGTCTTATTATCAAGTTTGAATATCTATTAACACAGTATGGGTTGTACACCACAGATCTAGTCAAGAAAATATTTGTAAGATCCAGAGATAAAAAAAGAGGTTCAAAACCCCAAAAGAAAGAGAGGTGTGGGTGTTCTACTGAAAGGGGAGATTTCACTTAAAGGTATCTGGGTTTCTGAACAAGGTTTCAAAACGAAAGGTCAATTCCTGAGAATGATATTCTCAATCAGGAAAAGAGAGAAATTATTATATATATGAAATGTAGAATAAATACAGTTAGACTTCGGATTAAATAATTTTCTTGAAAAAGACTCGTTTTCTTTCCCTCCTTCCCCCATATACACTTTGGGAACAAAAACTCCTAATAGACTATTGGAAAGAGAGACATTGCTTTCAAGGTCTTTTGCAACAGGCAGAGAAAATGTACCATTTAGGGTGGGCATTTAGATCAGTCAAGCATTACAAGGAGCACTGGACTAATAGATGCGACAGCGAAGGGTTTTTATAACATCCATGTTATATAATGTCTTGATTTCTGTAGATGGCGAGTAGCAACTGAGCCGCATTGGACAGTGTGAAGTCATCTCTCAAAATAATACAATATGACAGGCCAACTGCATTTTGCTTTGATTTGCAAAAGGGGTGAATATAGAATATCTCACTGCAGTGCAGCCATTCCCATATCAAACTAATGAAGTCTAAGACGCCTGTAAGTTCCAGAACTGTGAGGGAGAAATTTGGTGTTTTCCAAGAGTATCAGCTCCCATACTTGATGACTAGTGTATTGTAATACAGAATTTAAACTAAAAGTCTACCACGAATGGATTTGGGGGTTTTATTTTTTTCTACGTCTCAATGGCAGTCAGCGTACAGAAAACATGATATAGTGAGTTCAGCATGTGGGGACAATCATGTAGTTAGGAAGCAATGTTTAATCTAGTTGAGGCCAGTAATCTCTGGATGTTGATGCACAATGTTATGCACTGCCTTGTAGCATTTCCACATGGGCGATCTGTTGCTCTGCAGCATTAGAATCTGCATTTGATTTCTTATTCTCTTACCTACTCCTCAGGGATTCAGTAAATCCATCAGAATTTTACAACTGCCATTCTCTCTGGGCTGTGACACGTATGCAGTCAAGGATTAAAATCAGGCTTCTAAAGCAGTTGCCACTTGCAGCCTCTACTCTGCTCTTCCGACAGAGATTGGCAGTGCCACTGCAGGAAGTCTGAAAACCCAGCAAAACACCTTCCGAACCCCCCAAGCCTGTTTATTAAGGTACATAGATCCACTTTGAATATAATGCTTAGCTAAGAACAGCAGCAGTACAGAAACGGACTCATAAATCATGCAGCAATCTTGGTCAGAAGTGGGGCAACAACTTTGGCAGGACCCATCTGAGCCATCTGATTTTATTCTGCTTCTCCATGTGAATGAACCCTTGGACTTCATCAGTGTTTACAAGTCAGGAAAAGGCAACCCTTCCTAAAGCAATTGTTTCAGGACAACAGGGATACCTCAGATGCTTTGCAGATTTTGATTTTACTTAGAGCTTTACAGACTCTCAGTTTTCATTGGTTAGATTATTTTTTCCCCACTTCATTTGAAATTTTCACAGTCACAATGAAACAGAAATGAGGGCTTGCTGGACATCCTTTTCTGAACCCTATGAAAAACTCTGTTAAGTCATTGTCTTCACTCTCTCCAGACACTTGGGTGCAATTTTATAGCAAACTCGGAAGTATTATATAGTAAATAATGTAGGCTCTCATTTACAAGTTTTTATTATACAGAGTGAACAATCAAAATAGTTGTTGACTTTAAATGATAAACTTTTATTCTGAATATACTGTTTTTGCACAATAATTAACACAACAGTTCTAGGATTATAAACTTTTTATATCATTATTGTACAAATTTTTACAAAAAATTATTTTTCCAGGCTTGTCAAGTTCCACAAAAGTGTCAAGAGAACACAAGAAAACGGAGAAAGACCTGCTTGCCTTGTAAGAGCAACCAAGTCTTTTTCTGCAGAAACGCACACTGAGCATTTCAATAAAAATATCCCAGAAAGCATGATCCAGACATTCCATACAACACAAGAAGAGAAGACAGCTTTGTCAGATCACAATCGCAATTTCATGGCGTCTGAACAAGACAGTATCCCTTTAGCCTCAGTGAAATATATCTTCAAGATGATGTTTTCCTTTTAAATCATAAACAGGAGAGATGCAAGTAGCTGGGAAGAGGGTGAGGCTAACTTTTCAAAACTCTTGAATTGTTTTCAGACACTTTGTTTTAATATTTTACAGTAGTGTACAATGAGTATTAACAATATTAACATTGTGGTATGAACAAAATAATAATAAATCTGGCCTTTTCTAAAGGCTTGAATGTCTGATGAAGATAGGGTAAAATTTATCCTAAGGAAGGAGTTATTAAGATTTCATGTTCAGTCAACATTCCAAAAACACCAGAGTGCATTGCAGTGCCTTGTAGGCATTAATATATTTCTTAATAACCAGTGTTTTAAATTTTAAGGTTCAATGGGACTGAGGTGGTGTTTTGGAATTCTTACGAAGCAAGTTTTCTGAGCTTATATGTTAATGGGAACAAAAGGTCTTAATGTCTCTTCAGTGACACCAAAACACTCTCAACCACAGCAAGTAACACTTGGGTTGCGAAGGTCACTTAAAAGGGATACTGCCTATTTGAAACCAGTAAGGCCAGTTTTTAAGTTAGTAAAAGGAATATTGTAGGAAAACTTACAAATGGCAGCAACATTGTTGTTTTTGTCAAGTTAAGCAGTAAAGCCTCAAGCATTAGAAACATGAAAAAGTTCATACTAAAATCTTAAAGGTACAGGACCTAAAAATCTTGTCAATCAAACCTGCTATGTTATGTTAAAAACCTGTTACAAATATGGACCACGGTCAGTGTTTTGGCAGTAATGCTGGTTGTTTAAATGAAAAACTAAAAAAGAAACCTTTCATGTTAAGTCCTCAAATCATGTTTTGCACAGTACCATGCTGTAACAACTTTAATGGTGGTTATTTTTCAGACATACAATACGCTGCATGACTTCTGTGTAAACAGAACTAATCCCAACAGTTCCCTTAATGCCATTTAAAGGATTTGAGCAAACATCAACAGAGCTTTTTATCTGGCTTATAATTTTTTACAATATATTGTAATTTGAAAATATCTCAATTTAAAGCCTAAGATCAAGTTTCTTCTTTCAAAGGCAAGACAACTATGATGCGTTACGTAAGAGTAAGGACACCCTTCTGCATGAGAATTTGTATTTATTTATGTGAGTTATTTCTATCGACTGGTGTTCACATTTTGTGATAGCCAAAGTTCACATTGCATTTTCTATCTGTGTTTTGCAATTTGAAGATATCAGAGTAGTGTATTTTAAAAAAATCTTGACCATCACTTGGATATTCTAATATAACATTTTAAAGTATTTAAACCAATATTTTTTAAAGTATTGAGTTCTATGGGGACAGAGAGCCAGATCCTGAATTTTTAATCAGATGGGTATTGTGACTGGAAGGCTAAGTGTTTATAACAAACATTATTCTCCAGGTATAGAGGGACAGAGGAGAGGAACAAAGGACATTTTCCTCTTTGGATCACCCAAGAGGGCTATGTGTCTGCATGGCAAGGGCTTCTCCCTCCTTTTGCATTTGAGTAATTTAATGGAAGTGGGTTGAGAGCAAGACCCACAGACGTTTTTTTGTGACAGCATTAGTTTGTGCCTTCTCTCTTTATGCCTACAGATTTTAATAAAAAGTTTAATAAGTAACTTCAAATATGCCTTGCCAGCACAACCCTTGCCAATGTTAAATAGTGTAACTTGTCCATGAAGGGTTTCTTTTGGGAAGCTAAATGAAAACTATAGAGAACTTAATATACCAACAATCTTTCAAGAAATTAAAAGAGCAAAATGCAAACAAATGTGTATTTTAAGTAACCTTAGAGTAAGAGCTATGAATGCAGTAAGTATTGGCCTATTCCTACAAAACGTGTTCTTCCCATAAAATGTGAATTGACCACGTCAAGGAAAAATACAGGATGCAGTCTTGGCATTAAAAACACTTAAACCAATTTTTCCATCAGGTGGTAACTGGTGACAGGGTGAAGAGAAGTACAGCAATACGACTGAAAAGAAGAGCTCCAAGTTTATCTTCACCCATATTATCAACATTAGCTCACCTTCCCTGAGGAGGACTTGAAGTCATCCATGAAATTATTGGAGATATTCTTTTTAAAAAGCTAAATTTGATCACTGAATAAAAGGTCAGGATTTATTTTTCCTCACTCACTGTGTTCCCAAACATGAGAAAATACACAGCTGGAGCCAAGGTACATGAGAAACAATGAACCAGCCATGAGTACAAGTACAGTAGACGTCTGATCTTTCAAGCCATGCCACAGCTTTGAGGAGCTTCTTCAGTTTTCATAGGATATTAATGCATGTCCAATCATTTTTTTAAGCTTTTGGCATGATCAAAATTATATCAATCAATTGCCAGCATATACATACCAATGCTTTGCATTCTATAATTTTTTTAAAGAGCTAGTGTATTGTGCCATGTTAATATTTGCATATTGCAGTTGTTAGCAGAACTGTACAATACCAGCAGAGTTGCACATTCATTGGTTTAGCTGTCTTGCAATACTGTTTAGTTTTGAAAACTTAGAAAAAAAAAGCGCAAAACATATTTTGCATCAACACTATGCTACACTGTAATATTGTAATTTACTGCACCAACCTGTATCACCAATGAGGTTGTATAAAAACAACTTCTAAAGTTATTATTCACAATCAAGTATCAATTTGCATACATATAGATTCAAGGCTCCCCTTTTGTTTATATTTTTTGTAATCACAGCAACCAGGACATTTTGCTGTTAAATATGCTATTTTCAGTAATAAATAGCAACAGCAGTTGTTTTAATATTAGGGGGGGTTTATATGAAGGAAACAAAGGGGGAACCTGATATGAACTTTAGAGAACATATACTTCCAAAAATAAATGCGTTAAATCTCATTTTTATATACTTAAAATATCTGTACACAGATTTTCATGTGAGATCACTATTCCGTAAAAAATCCAACTCAACCCTTTTGTTACAATAGCTATATTTACCCTATTTTCTCAGCTTTTTCATTGCACAGTATATTCAGAGCTCTGTTTCATAATATAATTTAATATGATTTGATTGCAACACATTGCAATGTTCAGTTTCTCACACAATAAAAGAATCACTCAGTTACCTTTTCAGTGAACTATACTCTACCATCAAAGAAAACAAACTGAAAACAATAACATAGCATCATCATCATGCAAAATACCCTTGGAAACCAACGTTCAAATATCACAAAGACATTTTTTATTCACAAGCATTTTTGTTTCAGCCTTTGAATGATTCTACTAGCTTTATATGTAACTGCATTGTGAAAAAGAGGTGAGTGTTATGTTGAAATTAACATTTTTTCTGACAGAAGATGACACCAAGTTTAAAATGAAAATAACTTTTTAGTTAAACTCTCCAGCACCTTTGTATTTTGAAACACAGTAGTTTTCTCCTTTTCTTCCTTTCTTCTTCCTTTCTTCTTCCCTCCCTTCTTTCCTTCCTACATACAATTTATCAACCTACCAAAACTTAGTTGGCTGCATGATTCATTTCGGAAGAATAAACCGCTCATCATGAAACATTCCAATCATGCTGAACTTCTAAGGAAAACTGGCCAATATTTTCATTTTACTCAACTAGTTTGGACAAAACTGATGTTCAAAGCAGCCATCATGGTGCTAGTAACATATACTGGGGACAACATTTTCTTTTTTTTTTCCTTTTTCTTTTTTTTTTTTTGTTTTTAAATAACTGTTCATGTAAAAGAATATAAATCTTCAAGATATCCAAAGCTCAAAAGAAATGAAAATCATAAACGTAAGCTATTATTAGGGGAGCCCTTTTACATGAAGTCATCAAGATTACAACAACAAACAAACAAACAAAAAATAATTTAGATTTCCCCAATGGAGCACATACAGAAGTCTGCTCGAATGGCATAGATGATGCAGCATTCACACACGTTTAAGGATCCGACACTCCAACATGCAGCCACCGTGGGCGCCTTTATGAGTCTCACAACGACTGATCACCAGACATGAGCACTGCTGTTCTGCTGCTGTCTGAATAGCTGACCCCTTCTAAAATGAAACTGAGGCTATCGTTTTGGCCGGCTCTTGATTAAGTTATGCAGGTTTTGGTTTAGCAAGGTCATAACTGGCAGTGTCTGCTGCCAGATAACAGCCAAAGCAGGACCAGCTGAATTCCTACCATGGACCACAGTGATGGACTCAGACCAGAGGCACCACCGCAGTCAGCTGAATCTTCCTGTCGACAAGAAAAGAAGAAATCATTTAACATTAATTACAATGAATTTTCCTGAGAAAGAATCTACAGTTTAGTTTGCGACATTTTGAACTATCATTGAGGCATCATTTTTGGTCTTATATATGTTATTTTACTGACACAACAGCAAAATAATTCCTGAAACTTTGTCTGATTTTTGATACAAAGGGTTTGCATTACTATTTTAACTACTAGCATGAGAGAATCAAATACTTTCAAGGTTTATTACAGTCACTTATGAACTAGGTGGGATACTTACACCATCAATCAAGAAATGCTATGGGATATACCTGGGGGCCTCAGAAAACCCCATTTATATTCCTTAAAATTACATCAATTGTAAGACTCTGAGTATCACTTTATTGTGAGGAAAGAGAGAATAACAAATAACTTTTCAAGATTAGAAAACAAATACCAAAATACGTTTATGTCCATTTCATCAAATGATGGCACATTAAAATGAATATGGTCTGCAGGTGAAGGTATGATCAAAGAGAATGAAAATCCTTTCTCTGTTTCTGATGCTCTATTCAAGTAGGAGAACCAAATTTCCTAACATGCTTTCTTACATGTTTGATGCAGTTCAGTAGAGAAGACATGCTCCCCTTTGAGGGCTCACTCTGAGTTGCACTGCTCTCTCATGCATCAGTGGACCCTACTAATCCTTATGCCAGACAGCAATCAAACACCTCTTTTTCTCATTCCTTTCTACCATTCATTGCTGTTCTGTGGTTCCACTTTGCCTATAACGCATAATACTTTTCCCATTATGGACTTATTCATTAGTCTGGCTGAAATATATTTGATACCTGTTCTGGAGCCTGTACCATCTTACACCTTGTTTCTCGGGACAAATACAAACTGTGGTTAGCACCTAAAACACCAGGACAATGTTCCAGCCATCCCCCCATTTCTTTGTCTGCTGAGTCCAGGATTCATGAGTAGCTCTGAAGGCTAAAAATACTTGGTCTTTCTCCTGTTTTCACTGTATTCTGTACCATAGTATAAAAAGACGATTTCCATTTCCCAAGAGATCCAAGCCTCCAAGGACAAGAAAACAGTGTAGCTGGAAAGGGACTTAGGTATATTAGCAATTAGGGAAACTTCTTTAACAGGAGCAACACGTTCAGGGAAGGACAGACAACTGCACCTGAACAGTAACAGAGCCTGGCTGCTAGCACAGAAATAAAAATTATTTTAGAACAAAAATCAGAGGAAAACCAACCAGCAGGAAACAGTTCCTGGTTCAGACTGATATGTAATGAATACTCAAAGTACCTCAGAAAAGGTTGGGGGCAGGGGGGTGGGTCAGTGGGAGCTAAAAAGAACACAAGCAGGATAAAGGAAGGGTCATTAAACCATCTTTAATTCATTGGTACATCCTTAAGCAAAACCTTCCAGTGCTAGGAACATAAAATCAAGATGGAGGAATGACAATCACCCATCAATGAACCATCCCAAAATAATACACATATCAGAAACCTGGTGGAAGGACACTTATCAGTAGCACAGAACATTGTCAGGCTACCAGCTTTATAAGAATGGCAGTATAGGACATGCAGCAGAAGAGTGCTACATAAATGCAACAACATAAAAATCTTATAGGAAAAGTGTGATGGAATCTCTGTAGGTAAGAAATTTCAGAGTCTGATAATAAAAAAAGTAATACTAGAATTGCACTGCTGACCGCCTGATCAGACGGACAATATCAACATTATGTGAGATTGGAGAAGGCACATAAAGATTGGATCGAAACCTTATCAAACAGATATGTAGAGATCACATTTTCAGATATGACAAATGGTTTTTAGGACAAACAATCTTTGAATCTTTAGGGGTGCACAGGGCCCTGTTCAAAATTATTAGTGGAGTTGCTCTGTACAGCTCTAGTAGCTCTGTAGACCACAATGCAATAGGATTTAGCATTTTTGTGTGAAAGATCAGGCCAAACAAATCCAAAATGGGAGATACCAACTTAAAGAAAGGTAACTACCTGAAAATTACCAAAAGCAGTTAAAAAAAAACCAAACCCAAACAACCTCAAACCCAAGAAAACAGAAAAAACCTTAACAAACAAACAAAAACAGAAAGCAAGGAAAAAGCCAAACAGACCTAGAAGCAGCATCTCAAAAAGCAAGTTCCTTACAAGGGTCCAGAAGAATATTTAGAAATTAATGCCCCAATTAGAAAAAACAACCACACACCACCCACACCTAAAAGCGCAATCCCAAAACAAATGAAAACATACCACCACCACCCTCTACCAAAAAAACACCCAATGCATAACCAAACCCAAAACCCAAAGAAACACCCCTGCATGAATCAGTAGGGAACTTAAGTACACTGTCATAGAGAAAAGGTCAGTATTTAAGAAATCAAGTTTACTCAACAGGAACAGCAAAGTACATAAAAATGACAGATTAAATATAAACAAGAAAATTAGAAGGGCCGATAAATAATTTTTTATGACTTCCCTGCAGAATATGCTGAAAATGATAGTAGAAATTTTTTACTAAAACATAAGCACGAAGCAAATATGAGGTCAGGGCAACTGCTTCATAAGAGAGGTGTAAAGAGGGAATCTGGGCATTATAGGGCACAACAAAGAATTTCAACAAGTTCTTTGTGTCAGTTTTAATTGGTGAAAACTTTAATGGTATTCCCTCTACACACAGTGCATTCTTCAAAGCAAGGAGGTCAGAGTAATCAGAATCAGTTGGGAAAAAATATATGGAATAACAGATAAAGTAGACAAATTATACTCAGTACCTTATCAGGAATTATAATATTCACCAAAAGGCTCCTTTAGAAACTTGGATGTAAAATAAAACCCAAAAAACCAAACAAGACCCAAAAATTAGCATTCAAATTCCTCAGAAAGAAACAAAAACTCATTCTGTTCTAAAGCAAATAGCTCATGTTAGCTGCCATTCTTTATCAACAGTAGTCATTTCCAGATATGTCTCTGTCATGTGATAGCTTTATAATTTAGTTCTGTAGTTTTGGGTTAGATTTTTGTGTGTTTTTATTTTTGCTTTTGGTTGTTTTGTTTTTTTTTTTGGTTGATTGCACTCCACAAGTTCAAAATTCCTGAGGTTTCTTGTCAACAAGGAAGTCCTAAGTAAACTCTTCTGCACAGATTTGGAGTAGAATGCTAAGATTTCAAGATGCATTGAACTTTCTGGTTTATTTAGTTTGGCTCTGTCACTATTTGCATCTGCATTATGTCTTGTCATGCAGTTTTATTTCTACTCAAAGCACCTAAAAATAACCCCGTTGCATCTTCCTCACAGTGACTACCATTAAAAAACAGAATTATCGGTAAAGGTTTCCTCTCACATGAATTCAATGAACAGCACTCAGTGTTACCTTTTGGTATTTAAGATTTCTTATCACTGAAATTACTAAGACAAGTCTTCTTTGAAGCAATAGTCAAAAGTAAAGCAGGAGATTTAAAAATTTTCAATAGAGGGGAAATGTCTGGAGAGTAAATAAGAAGTAAATTGAAGGTCTTAAACAAAATTGTGCATAACATGAAGGGAAAAACATCTTTATAGTGAAAATGGCATCCAGTATGGATACAGAGTAGATAGGTCTCCACATACTGAATTATACAGTACTCATCTTACATGTCACCTCTGTATTAGACCAAATATTGGGTAAATTACATTGATAAATTAATCCTACCACTATATGTATTTGAAAAAAAACCCCAAACACCTCCATTCTGTTGTCCATTTCTATTTGCTCTTTGCCATTTTGTTTTAACTACATTGCAATTTATGGTCACTGCTCTTACATTCAACAGTCATACAATGTTCCTATTGGATTGAAATTTTGCTCTCTCTCTAGGACTACACAGAGCAGTTTTTAAGGGATTCACTATTAACAATAGTAGAGAATGCTTTGAAAGCCTCATGAAGGAGAGGCTTATTCTTATTATGAATGACAGTATTAAACTGTAATACACAAAATTATACAAGGTTTATACATATATTTCAAGGTCGGGGAGATTTTAACCTCATATTTATCAAAGCCACATTGAATTTCTGCGGTTTGTAGACCAATTTGCAGTGGTAAACCAGCACTTCTGCCAAGAACAATTTCTAAATATTGCCTCTGGAATCAGTTATTCTTTTGTGCCCTAAGCCAAGACAAAAATAGTAGTGGCAAAGAAGGTACAGTAAATCCTACCTAAATTAATTTTTTTCTCCCTAGCATTGAACATTGTAATTTCCTTGCGTGTTTTTACTGTTTTGAAAACGAGAGGAAATGAAAAAAAAAAAAACAGTATAAGAAAAGAGGAGAAAGTCTGATTATATGGCAATTTAAATGAATTAAAGAAATCAACAGTTTCATGGAAATTACTGACATTCCATCATTAATTTAAAATCAGATTGAGAAAAACATCAGTTCTGAATGATCTTCAAAATGCCTTTTTTTGAAAACACTTCCCCTATTCTTGAGTTTTAAGAAAACTTCTCAACTATTACATGTAAATGTTATTTTTGAGATTTCTTCTAAAGTATCTTTTAACAAAGGTATATAGCATTATTTTATCCTGTCTTTACATTATCTTTCACTTCATTCTTGGGCAGGATGAGCTCATTAGCCTTCTGGCAGTCATCCTAGGAGAAGGACAACTCTCATACCAAACCCGGGCAGATGGAGCTCGCTTAGCCCTGGAAGGCCATCCATCTAAGAGAAGGTCACTCTAATCAAACCTACGTCCTGAGGACCTCGCTGCCACCGTCCAAGCTTGCTCGGCCCTGGCAGATGAACCTCAGGATTAAAGGGTGGGTTCAGTTCCGCGCATACTGCATCTCACCTAAAAAATCCATTGCGCAGGCTTGAAGGCTTTACCCACATGCAAAAAGTCCTGCAGCGACGGGCGAGGGTCGAAACGGTAGGTGAAAGGTGCACTGGGATGCTTTTGAGAAAGCACGCAGGATCACTCTTGAGGAGAAAAGACAACGCAGAAAGAATCGAGCCATGCAGAATATACCATCTAAGGAGTCTTTCTGCTGTGTCTTTTGCAACCGTACTTGCCTTTCTTGTATTGGCCTTTTTAGCCACCAACGCGCTTGCAAGAAACGTGGGTAGAGCCCTTCCCAAATCTTCGTTCGCGAAGCCTAGCCATGATCACATTATCTTTACCTCTGCTAGTGCAATTACACACTGAACTATTTTTAAGCACTTTCACTGAAATTTTCCAGCCCATTATGTTAATCATACAAAAATCCTGAATAATAGATCAGTTCGGGATGTCTTTCCTGTGTTGTCCTCAAAATAATATTCTGTATATTATTTCTCTTTGAAGAGAGAAAGAATTGTAAAAGAAATTGGAAAGAATCATCTTTAGCCACTTTCATTTCATCAGAAGTGTATAAGAAATTTCTTGCATTAATAAATCACATGTCAAATTTCCTGGCATGCTTGAAGTAGAGAAGTGTCAAATCTAAGTGTCATTTCCTTCATGTCATACTTTACTATGATAACTCTAGATGGGATTATTTTACATCACACACTGTGAAAATTATTCAGCACTTTCAGAATGAAAATGAATGGTTTTATAAAACCATATATTCATTTTTAAGTATCAAACCCACATATTTATTGTTAGATATGAACATTTCCTTGAAGACAGTGCCAGTCCAAAATTTTAAAAATACACATGGAACTAAAAATACACATACATACATACATACATACATGTTACTTATTACTCCTTTAGAAGTGCACTAGAACTGTTTAATGTACTAAAACTGTGTCTGCAAATCATAATAATTCATCAGAACCCTTTGTGCTACAATGACTTATAGAAGGGTAAAAGAACAATATATGCCAAAGAGCTTCTGATCTGGCCTTCAATGTCAGTTGATCACCTCAAAGTTATACCTTTTATAAGCATGTATTTTAAATGCTTCATATTGCATGGAAAAGACCTTTGCTTTTACTGAAGATTTCCAGTTCCAATGCATGGTCCTTCATAAATTTTGTGTTACCCTCCTTTGTCTGGACTTCCATACAAAGCTGTCAAAGCTGTACAGCTACCCATGCATAGATGAGGGACATAGGCTATTCCATCAAGATATATCCAATTGTCTGGTCTGCTAATAACCCTCAAAGCTCCCATGTTTCTGGAAGCTGATCGGAGCAAGACATTCACAGTAGGGCCTAAAAACTTATACAGTTCTTTTCTTTACTTTCAGGCATGGCAAAAAAACCAGTGTGCATGTACAAAGTAAGAGTAAGCCTTTCAAGGTGGTGATAATGACTATTTTGTTATCCTCGATGAAAAGGAAAAAAAAAACCCATCACATTATTGAACCTGATCAGTGGTTTGTATCTGTGTTGGCTTCAGTGATTTTAATAAAACTACACAGATTACTGTCCAGAAAAAAACCATTTCCAAAATCACGAAGTTATTAAAAACAAGATGGATGAACAAAATTACCTCTACAACTTTCTGCTGCCAAAAGTCTATCAGCTAAAATTTTATTCCGTGGGTTTCCCATCTTAAGCAGAAAGCCCAATTTGGGCATAAAGAATTCAGCTCAAGGTGAGTCTTTGCTGTTTTATGTACATTGGACAGTGGTTTTTTAATTAAAAGAAGGTTACTTGCAGAGCAAATTGCATGAGTAAGAACATGAGATATTAATCTAGACTTTAAAGTGAAATACCACTGGCTTATCGGAAGGGACTTTTACCCTTTCTTACAACCTTCCACCATGGCTGTGCAAGTTCCTAAGTTTGTTAGAAATTAGATCATTTAAATACAGAATAGGAAACTTCAGAATTACTCAAATACAGTTGTTAAACAGAACTTTAAGATTTTTTTCACTGTTGTTCAAGTGATAATAATTGAACCTTCCCTTAAGTTCAAAGAGAATACACATTATTGAGAAAATGGGTTTTCTAAATTGCTACAATTTTCAGTATTTTACTACACTAACTCTGAAAAATGCCCTCTAAGCTTCCAGTTCTGCCTCTCAGTTGGCTTTACTTTGATAGACATGTGAGTATCTCCCTCTAGTGGTTTTCAGAGCAATAATGTTGATCAGAGACCCCTCCAGTCACGAATTTTATGCTCTTTATCTCAGCAGTTCTCTTGCAGACATCTCGCTATCACAGTAGCTAATGACACAGTCCCACACCATTAAATTCAACACAGGCTAATTGCCAAGGCTTTCGTTGTGAACTCCAGAGTCTGTACTAGGTCAACACACAGGTCTTACCCATGTAGTTAATTAGGTTGATACACAATATTATCTGTTGTGTTCATTTGAATGCAGTGAAAACTCACTCTTCTCAATAGCAGCACTTACACAGAGCACTCATCCTTGCTATCCCTAAGTAAAGCTTTATTTTCACAGGTATTGCAATCTCTTCTATTTACTTTGTATCTTTGTGTAGAAACCTTTCTTCTGTTCATTTAACAAGGACAAGGCAAAAATGCTTAGAAGGGAATGACATGTACTCAGCTGATATATGTGCAATCTCAAAGAGCCAACCATATAAACCCAACAGGTTCCCTTGTCTTTGTATGTGCTATGGGAGAGGCCCTTCTGTTCAGCAATTCTGATTTATAAGGCTCCAGACAGGGTATTTTCATATTTAATTTCCCTTAATATTGCAATAGTAATTTGCTCCAGATTGTTGCTTTTGGGACTTGCTTCATTCTGTTTTCTTTTGTATGTTCAGTAAGTAAAAAAGTCTGCTAATTTTTTAAGCCAAGAAAAAAACCAAAAAATTAGAGAAAGTAACTGACCATCCACACCACATGAAAACTTGCAGAAAAATGAAGATAGGAGCGGACATCATGGCAGAGGCACGACTCGTTGTGCATATAGGCTGATCCTATTAATAACGGGCAAAGTAGCAAGTAGAGGAAAGGAAAGAAAACACAGAAAAAAAGACATACAAGATGAGATATCATGCAGATTGCTGGCAGTTAGCAGAGTTAATGTGAAAGCATCCACCCAAGAGCAAGAGATTCACAGCAAATTTTGCAAATAAACTTAACCAAAACAATCCACTGTTACAAAACACATGACTTACACACTGATCAGCACATCAAGCTAGTGAGCAAGAGTTGTACTTTCACACACAATCATATTAGGAGCGTTTGGAATATTTACAATGACCAAATATCTTCTGGATAGTTTTTCAACTTTATTTAACCTTTGTTGGCCAGTAAGAAGACTTCCTTTTTAAAATAAAATTTGGTTACTAGAAACAAATGCATTGAAAACCAACTTTTTGTTTTAATACAACTGACATCTCAGTAATTGTGCCTCCTTACAAGAAAAGCAGAGCACACCAAAACATGACTTGGTATACAGAAGTTATAGCCAACTGCATTGCTTTGGGACAATCTTTCCTTTGCAAAAATTGCATGAGGAACTAAAAATGAATTTTAAAAATATTTATTGTATCTAATGCCTGGCACTTTCATGTGCAGCACTTTCTGTCTTGAAATTTATTCTGAACAATTTAAATTCATCATAATCTCTTTCATACAGTATTTTGAAAGGTAAGGGAAAAAGCATATTCAAAATAATTTAGATATGTGGTAAGTTATAATTTTTTGCCTTCAAAACTTTAATACAATACAGGAAGTACTGAAGAGAACAATTTTAGTGATTTCAGTAAAGCAATGCACTTATATACCCGTTAAGAATATGACCTAAGGGCAACACAAATTGCAGAATTAGAAACAAATCTTAAACCACATATAACATTTTTAATCATTTAACAACATCTTAAATAATATTTGGAAACATTATTATAAAAATACTACTTTTAAGTCAGGATTATCATGTACTTGTGAAAACCATTGAAGAACTGAATTTCACGGCACCATACAGAGACCAACAGTGTTATGCTCACTGATGTTTCGGGTTTTTTTAGTAAGAATTATGTGTGAAAGCACAATGATTATAGGAAAGCCAGATAAGAAAGCAGCTGCTAATTTTATGTTAATCATGGGATATTTGAAATAGAGTGACTATGGTCTAGAGTGAACAGTATGTTTAGTGATATATAGGTTACCAGGCACCAAGGTATGCTTATACACAGTTCTCACTACTCTTCTAAAACAGCTCTACAATTGTCTTTAAAGATAGTCCTAAAGTCTAACAAGTTCAATTTTACCTGTTTGGCTTCATCAAAGCAGACATCGGGACCCTTTCTGTATCGAGGTTGTTTGACCATTTCACAAGGATTTGGCCCCTCATCTGTTTCTCTGGTTAAGGAGCATGGTTGTTTTTTGTGCATCGTACATCAGCAGGGTTGACATTCTGTTTTTATTTTCATGGCAGAAGAGAAGATTTATGCTAATTCAGATAGTACTGAAATAAACATCAATAGTCACAGTTCTTTGTTTGAAGAAAACCAATCCAACCCTCCAGATAAATCAAAATGAAATACCCTTTTTCTTACACTGTTTTAATCAAGAAAATAAACATCCTGCATAACTTTTTAGAATGAGTATTTTCAGGACCATACACAGAAAAAAATAAAAGCTGCATTCTTTTAACATTTTCTGTATTGCTTTTATTATCATTCCATAAATATTGAAGAAAATATTTCATAAAGTAATAAACTTTCAGTGGTACTGATTGGTTATAGGTTATGTTACCTCTGAGTTATTCTGCTAAAATGAAGATCATAGTAAAAGCAAGGAAACGCGTTTGGAAAATTAATGCTATATACAGGTTGAACACTGCATTGAAAGCCTATAAAAATGAGTGGTTCTATTATGTGTACACTTATATTACCCCAAATATAGAAAAGATCATCCCACTGTAGGCTTTGATGGTAAATGACAAGAACTAATGAGATCTCATTAGCATTTCAGTGATGAAGCAGACAGGGAAAATGCTGTCCATACTAACGGCAGAACATCAGGAGAGAAGTGGGAGCAGTGACACACTATTAATTAGCTAACTGTAAACATGAGACACTGCTTTAGTTTACATCTCTGAAATCTGTAATTGTTGATATTTAAGTGCAAATACTGTACTTCATATATGCCACTGGCTAACAAGGGGCTCCAGTCATCGGAGCAATCTTGTAAAGCATGGGTGTGGTAAACTGCAAAACTGCGTTCTGGTGAAACCTGCTTATATTACCATTCAGTGTGTTAAGTTTTTTGGGGTTTTTTTGGGTTTTTTTTTTTATTCTACTGTAGGTATACACACATAAAAGCTAAACTAGAGCATTTTAAAAAAATCTTAGCGCAAAACTTTACTTATCTTAGTAGCTCTAACTTACACTTGAAGCAATTTTAGTTATGCAATACCATGGTGTGCTACAGCAGCTTCAGTGCAACAAGTGGAGAGGTCAAAGGCAAGAGAAGGGAAGAGGATGGGGAATTTAGCTCTACAGATCTACATCTGCCTTCATGCAGATGTTATCAGACTCACCTCCCATTTTCTCTGCCATGGCCCAACTGAAAGGGAAGTTGAAACATGGAAATATCCTAAGAGACAATGAGCACAAGCAAAGCTGTACCAGCCAAAAGGAAGCAAAGTGTAATAATAACCATCTGAATAGCACCCAAAGGTCATTCTGTCTGCTTGGGTGATGTTATGCTACATCTGCATTTCACAATGTACCTTAGTTACAGAAAAGAGAGAATAACTTAGTACTGCATGGTTGGAAAAAAAATAAAATAGTTCATTTAGTCAATATAAGCCCACCCAGCTTCTCTGGCTGCCATTTGAGGACATTTACTGCTTTCTACAAGTTTTATCCCACAGGAAAATGCAAGTCATGTGCCCATTTCCCATCAAACCTGCTTCATTTTCTATCGTGAGTGCTGTCCATAAATTCAGACTGTGGCAACAGTTAATCAAACTGTCATGGACTGAAGCCAATTAGAATATTAGGCTGTGTTTACATAGTTCTGTGATGACACCCCAATGTAACTTCCTTTTCAGTCCAAGCGTAGATGGAATTCTAGTTTTATTAATGTGGCAATGAATGCATTGCTTGTGCCAAAGAAACAAATCATCTGTACTGCCATCTGCTTTTTTTTCAGAAATGGGAGAGGTTGTCTCAACTAACTTCCTGACATGGACAAAGGTATTACTAATTGTTTTCCATATTCCGTCATAATAATCCAAGTTATGATTTGATTTACCACCATGGTAAATCTGGCATGCTATCCTTGAGCCAGTGTTACAGAGCAAGACTGAGGTGAATTTCTCCCGACCTATAATATGTGGTGGCCTAGTGGTTAGCGTGCAGGACTTTCACTGCTGCGACCACGGGTTCGATTCCCAGTCCCTCCCGGGCAGATGGAACCCGTTAGCCCTGTGTGGCCATCCATCTATGAGAAGGACACTCTAAACAAACCTACGTCCTGAGGACCTCACTGCCATTGTCCAAGCTTGCTTGGCCCCGGCAGATGAACCTTAGGATTAAAGGGTGGGCTCAGTTCAGCGCAGGCTGTGTCTCACCTAAAAAATCCATTGCGCAGGCTGGAAAGGTAAAAGACCTTTCCCCAAATCTTCGTTCGCGAAGATGGGCCATTATTATTATAATATGTGTACATTGGTTTTATGTATTTCCATCACCATAGTATCTACTGCAGTGAGCAGGTTAAAGCAAAGAGATTGGCATGAACGTGGTTGTAAATTAGAACAAACTTTCACATGTTTTTAACTTTAATGCATGTGTTGTAAGGATTCTGCTTAGCATGTAAGCCACCTGTGTCTCCAGCCATCTCTGAAGAAACGCTATGCTAGCAGCTGGATAAAATCTAGCCTTTGATAGCTAAAGCAGTTTTCACAAGTAAGCAGTTTCACAGATTTCACAGAATGTTCTGAGTTGGAAGAGACCCACAAGGACCAAGTCCAGCTCTTAAGTGAATAGCCCCTACAGGGATCGAACCCGCAACCTTAATGTTCGTGGTACCATGCTGCAACCCACTGAGCTAATCTCCATTGTCACTGGCTCTGAGCACACGCTGTGCATCCATCAATTAACTGTTGGTGCAGCCTCTCAACTTTTCATGAACAAACACTCCTATCCTGACATTGCCCGTTTTCATTATTTTTCTAGACAGACATACTCTTGTCTTTTCTAAAGGCTGAACAAACCCAGGACTCTCAGACTCTCCTTGCCTGTTCTGTGCTCTAGACAGCAGCCTCTTTGGTGGCCCTTCACTAGACTTCCTCCAGTATTTCAGTGTGGTACTGGGAAGCCCTGAACTGTACACAGCACTCCGAATGTTGTCTAGGCAGTGCTGAAGACATGGGATGGACCAGTTCTCCCAATCTGCTGACTTGCTATTACAGCCCAGGATGCAACCGGTCCTCTTTACTGCAAGGCACAGTGCCAACTCATGTTCAACTTCTCGTCCATCATGAACCTCAAGCCCTTTTCTGCATGGGTCTTCCTAATAGCTCTGTCTCCAGCCTGTCCAGCTGTGTGTAATTATTCTGTCTTGGGCCCAAGACTTTGCATCTGACTTTTCGAAACTTCATTAAGTTCCTGGGAGCCCACTTCTGTCTAAGTTCTCACAAATAACAGCTTTGCTCTCCACCTCAATGATTGCTGGTTGAGATGATTTGTGATATTATCCACAAATACCTGCTGTTTCAAGTATTCCAGTGGCAACCATGTTACTAATATGTACATAAATGGGTTATTTTTCCCCAAATATATTCCATTATCCCATAGCCAAAAATCAATCCACACTATTAAATAATGTGATTTTAAAGGATACCCGGCTTCTCTGCTTGCATCAGTGGCTTTGGGTCACAGGAGCGGCACAGCAGTTGGCTGTCACTAATAATGAATACTAGATTGGTGTTTGAAATCTTCTCTGCATGATAAAGTCTGGAAAAAAAGCCAACAAAAATCTATGTTTAAATGAAGAAAGAAAATTCATATTTGAGAAGGAGACACAGTATTGGAATAAAAAAATAATACAGCTTCACAGAGTCAGTCTGCCTGCTACTGTTTATCTTTTTCATTAACAAACAGCAAGAAACATTTAAAACAAATTTTGTAATCTTTTCGACATTTCCATGGTACTCTCTTTCAACTAGACTTGTTAGTGGAAAAAATGGAAAAGAGCATAAAATTACTTTAATTGAGTTAATAGCTAGCTCTGTACTGCTACCGCAGTAGCTGTACTGAGAAATAACATCAGTTCAGCATCAATTAACACTGAGAAAACCCCCAACCACAAAAACAAACAAGCAAAACGCCAGCACATAAACCTGTCTGTAAAAGGGTGAGGGAAAGGTTTAGGGTATGTATTGGATATGTATTGGATATGTATTTGTTGCATTTTCATGTCCATATAATTCCACATAAAGTCTTTAAGTTAGTAGGGTCATCTATAATTTATAAATAAAATCAACAAATACTAGCAACATGTAGTAGGATGTAAGGAAGTGTGAAAAATGTCTGCGTGTTTTGGCTGTATTCACCATTCTCTGATGTCCTCTGTCTTTCTTTCCTGGCTTGAAATATTGTCTTCAAGGAGTTTGAAATCTGGCTGTTAATTCTAATTTCTAAGATATTTTCAGAAGCTCAAAATGCATGCAAAAAGCCAGCAGGCTCTTGTATGAAACACAGAGCAAGGTCCAAACTGCTATGTTTCTGAAGTGTCCAATTTTTTGACATAATATTAAACATCATCTTGAATAGCCATGTAGAGCCTGATGAGTAATTCTTTTAATCACAAAATAAAATAGCTTTGTTTGCTTTATAAGACTCACAGCTCTTAAATCATAAGCACTATTGAATAGAAGGTAAATTAGAAGATAAATTGCATAATCTTCTTGACCATCAAAAATTTCAATACATAACCAGATTAAAGAAAATTATATCCCTCAGAATATCACAGAATGCTTTTAAGTTGACATAATAAATTATGTCAAAAAAATCAAATTGTAACAGAGATAGAAATACAGTTTTCATGAAGCATATAGAGACTATAAACTAAAAAAATTGACTAGAGTATTTCTACAATCCTTTAATTGTTAGAATTTATCTGCCTATACACTTCTCTGTCTTGGTTATGAAAGTTTGGTGAAATTAATCCAAAATATATTTTTTGTTCTTATAACAGTGTCATTATCTTTTGTAAAATAAATGGCAATCCCAAAGTTATTATTTACATTGAAGAAATTTTACCTGGAGCAGTTTATACAGTCTACAATCCCACCAAAGGATTTATCATCGTTTTCGAAGAAATACTGAGTTTGCTCAGTGATGCAGCTTGTTTTAGGCAGAGCAGCACCGAAATCATCATCTTCCATATCAGCTGACAGAAAGAAAAAAGAAAAGAAGATAAATAAACGATGACATTTAAAGTCACAGACGTAATGGGGAGATCCAAATATGGCTCCCAGCCTAGGTTCTTACCTTCTACTTCACTCAAAGTTGACTCTTTAACATTCTCTTGACTTACCTGCTTCAAGGAACCGTGGAAAAGTCAAGCTCAAAAACAGCTGCTGTAAGATAGACCTGAACACAGAAAGACAACATGTATTTGTTAAATGCTCTTTTTCTTCCATGTATTTAATGGATACTTAAAAACTAGTCAAATACGAGTTATTAAAAATAAAATCTTTTTTTTTTTTTACACTTTTGCCTGTTATTAAAGCTGTGTTTCTTTAAACCTTACAGTTTGACTCTGGTTTTCTTTTCATGCATTCTCACAGGTCTTTCATACTAATCTTTTATTCTACTGTCAAGATTTACTATAACTTGTGCCCATAACTCACATAATGGAAAAGTTATCATGCCATCCATGCACTCCTTTTATAGCTCTGCAGGAGGTGGAAGAGGTATGCTGACATTCCTCTTAACACTTCAGCCAACCAGAACTCCTTTTGAACACACTCAGGAAAAATTCTCCTGACTTAGATACTTTACACTGATTAAGGTTCATTAAATTGCTAAGAAGGAGACCAACACCAGAATATTGCAAGTATATTATAAAAAAACATTACTGTAACAATTGACTTTTAAAATCTTCTCTATTCCTGCTGTTGAGTTAAGGACTGTATTTTCTTCCTACTTGTTGCCAAAACACTAAGGCTTAAAGAGCTTCATTTATTTAAAATTATTTTTCTTCACTGATGATCGTATTTTTCCAATTTTATTTACTTAAAGCAGGTACCAACTTGTCACATACACAGCCCCCTTCTCCTCTAAGAGCCTATCAAAATGAGAACTGCAACAAGTATATTCCTTGACTCCCTGTTTCTGATTAAACCTTCCAAAGTTATGTTTTCCAGTTGTAAAGTTTTAGGTTTACTTTTACCCACAAATAGGACCTGATCTCTTATCTCATTCTGGCCTAACAGTTGTTCTGCAGAGAAAAGGGTGTGTATAACTTCATTCAACCTCACAGTTTTTTCTCCTTTTCTCCTTATCCAGCATGCTTCCAATGTAAAGAAACTGAATACGCCTGTCACCTTTCCCATGAAGGCATTGCCTGAAGGAGTTCTGGATTCACATCCACAGCTTTGTGCTTTGAATCATCAGAGGGACAGCACACAGCAGCCATGGATCAGAAGAGACCTGGTGCCATTCAATAGTGATGCAATTTGCTGACAGAAAATGGTAATCCTTTGTAATGGCTTACCACAGAATTTACAGGGAACTGAAAGAAAAAGGCAGCCTGGGAAAACTTAAATCTTCTGACTTAAAGGAGCCTGAAGGGGAAATGATACAGACTCTCTTAACTAAATGCTGATGTATCCCATATAAATTTTGAACATGATCACTCACACCTTTATCCCACATTTTTGCCTGAAACATTATATCTTTCTTTAATAACCTGGTTTCTTTTATTTTCCTGCATTTGCTTTTGCCAGGTGCCTCATTGAATCCATTTTTCAGTCAGCCCTTTTCACTCTGCTTGCTTAATGGCCTTCTTTGCCTGCTTCTGACCTAGATTCCATTAAAAACATGCCCATAGTAAGTGCTTTAATGTTGTGCATTCAAGTTAAACTTCATACAAAAAAACCCTCAGTTCTAAATTGAGTCCAGACCACTAAGTTCGATTTGAACACTGATAAACTAAAGTTTCTTGAGGAGAACTCAAGTTTCTCTACTGGATTATTGCCCATCTTCAGTTTTTGAGGTTTGCTGTTGTCCAAGAAAACCGAGATTATTGCTCTTCCTGTTAACAAAATGTAACCAACAATAAAAATCAACATACAATCTTCATAGTGCTTCTGTGAGAAAATTACTATATGTTTTTTCAGCTGGTATATATTTTAACTCTTAGCTTAATAAAGTAGGTAATTTATTCCAGCTCAGTAATTAAAAAAAAAAAAAAGGCAACATGAAGCTTTAGAAAAAAGAATTGTCTCCAAGAGTGCAATCCACACCAATACAAAAGTATCAGGTCAATCCCAATTTCTTATCCCAGTGCTGGGAGGTGCTGGAGGAAGTAGCTGATAGGGGTGTCAATCTACACAATCTGAAACAGGTAAAATACTTCACCTGAGTACTGTCTCCAGCTCTGGAGCCCTCAACACGGAAAAAGAAGTGGGTCCAGAGGAGGGCCACAAATATGATCAAAGGGATGGAGCACTTTTACCACAAGGAAAGGTTGAGAGAGTTGGGGTTCAGTTTGGATAAAAGGTGGCTCCAGGGAGACCTTATTGTGGCCTTTCAGTACTTTAAGGGCCATTTAAGAAAGAGAAGGACAAAGTTTTTAGCAGGACAAGGGGTAATAGTTTTAAACTAAAAGAAGGTAGTTTCAGAGAGATACAAGGAAAATATTTTTTATGGTGAGGGCAGTGAAACACTGGCATAGGTTGCCCACAGAGATGGTAGATGCCCCATCCCTGGAAACATTTAAGGTCAAGTTGGAATGGGCTCTAAGCAACCTGATCTAGTTGAAGATGGCCCTGCTCATATAGGAGGATTTGGACTAGATGACCTTTAGACATCCCTTCCAACCCAAACAATTCTATGATTCATGTGTTTTGTAAAATGATTTACTGATTTTCTTAGGACTTCTTGCTAGAAAAAGGGAAAGATGATATTCTGAAATCAGCAACCAAGTGAAAAGTGATTCTAAATGTAATAATTTCGACTGAACCTTCACAACTGCTAATGGTACTTAGGCCACTAATCCAAAGTCTGCTTCCTGACATTGATTTTGTAGAGTCAGGACACACAATCATAAAACCTGGCAAGAGCAGTTTTGAATTCACCTGTTGATAGAATGGTCATGTTTGGAGACATAGCTAAGAATTTAGGGGGAAATATTAACCCAAGCTAAATACAGTCTCAACCCACTGAATAATTATAGTTCGGACATAGAGATTTCCTACACACTTGTACTTACCAGGCAGCTGCTGAAGCCCACCATCCTAGTTGCAAAATATCTGTTATCGTAGGCTGGGAAAAAAACAAGTGATTATGTTATTTATATAAATACCTGGAGACTTTTAATGGAATGTCAGCCACTGTACACGGGACTACTGACCACATAAGCAGAACGAAGTCCAGCTCCTTGCTTTGGTTCTTCTTCGGGATCACAGACTGATTGGTAGTCATATGACTTGTTGAAGGCATATAGGGACATGTTAATCAGGTTTCGCATCAGGCCAGGATCAATCTCACCAAAGAATCTTCCAATCTGATGAGAGAGAATATAGAGACACCAGGTAAAATATTTCCCAGTATTTTTCTCATAACAAAGGGAAGAGTTCTAAATTCTCCAGTTACACAGTTAAATGCAGTATCAATGAGACCCTGCCTGGGGAACAGTAAGAGGAATATAAGAAAGAAGGTGTGGGGATACCATACTACTTGCCCTCACCATCATAAATCTATTGGCAGCCTATCAGCCTAAGGGCAAAGCACAAAAAATGCAACTTGGTAGAAGTCTGGCATCTTCAAGCATAAATAAGACTGTAATAAAGACTAATAAAGAAACCTGGAATTTCTGATCCAGCGATATTTTTGTGACTCAGAAATGTTATCTTTAGGGTAAGTTGACAGTAAAAAGATGCTTTAAAATTTCTTCCTATCGGTTTTCATGTTCTGTCCTTAAAAAATATACATACCTGTTGTGTATATTCATCTCGATTTGACATCAAAAGAAATCCACCATCGTCAAGGATAACACAGTCCACATGCTATTGTAAGAAAGTGAAATAGGTTTTACAGGAAAGATTTGTCAATATAGCACTCTGTAAGAAACTATTTTTTCTTCAACACATTAGAAATATCTTCAAATCTATGTGGTTCAGGCTAAATCACAAACTCATAGCCAAGGGCCATGTTTAAGCTATAATAATTAGCATTATCAGTATAATAAAAGTCTGAACAGATCAAAGGCTTATTTGTGGCTTAATTTCATAAAAGTTCTTTTGTAAATTCTTATTTGCTCAATACTTTGTGAGCTCCAAGAATGCTATATCCTTGTTAAATCTGATTACAATTGAAACTCAACACATAATAAGGGACTACAACTTCTCATGCGCTTCAGCCATGCCTAAAGTCCTTTTCCATTTTCAGATTTCAATAGTAAAAATCTTAAGGACAGACTCTCAGCTTGCTAATCATGCTTCTTTTCACTTGCCAAGGACTGTAGTGGGATTGTGGGATTCTTCCAGCTGTCAGGTGCAGTAACAGGAAGCCCACTTGTTCCCTATGCTTTGCACTTTGTAAAAGATCCTTGCAGCCAGAGATTGGAGAGATAGCAGTGAGGTCAAATAGATAACCTCCCAGACTACCCTTTTTAGATGTAATTCTCACATTTAATGGTCTTCACACTCTACAAAAGAACTCGGAAGACCTGAGCAGAGGAAAGCTTTTAAGTTCATGGCAACACTTGATATGGTGACAGTCCCTGGAGCTGTGCTCTCCTGAGTGCCAGCAGAGCAATGGGGTCCCCTAGTCATAAATGTGCTGAGAACCAGGGGGAGAGGATGACTAATGACTGTTAAAAGGCACATCACATACTCTGGTGCTTCTCAGTCTGCATTTATCCTTCTCTGAGGTACTTCTAATATTCTTTTTTTTTTTCAGATTTTTTAAAATTTTTCTCTTTTCGCAGAATTTGTCTCTTGCTTTGCAAATTACTGTTATATTTTTCTCACACTTCTCTTCACATCATTTTCTATTGCTTTTCTTGTATTTTTCTTTACACTAGTTATAACCTCACTGCAATGATTCTTGCAACAGGCACTTCACCTGACTTTTATGCCCTTTCACCCTCTCCCCTCCTAACCTTCATCTGTCTCAAGACACAAACAACTAAGCCCTGTTTTCTGTAACATTAACTCTCAAATAACAATGATACAATCTTTGTCTTAGATAAATCTAGAGAGAATGAGTGAATTTTCATAATCTGTCAGATATCATAAACTGAACATATTCTTACCATGCTATTTCTCTCACAGCCACAGATTTCACTGTTGCACTAAAAAACAAAAGTACAGTAATCTTCACAAAAATGTTACAAAACCTGTATTTTGCAGTTATATTAATCAATCAAGACAGGAACAGGACAAGTTTTTCATTTTGTGCCTCTCTTTTATGAATTCAGTATCAGTTCCATGTTTTTCCTTTCATCTAACCTCTCCTTCCCATTTACACCTAAGCATTAGATGTATGGAATGATATGGTTAAGCACCTATTTCCTTAAGTTCTGCTATAATACTGAAATGTTAGTTGCAATATCAATCCTTACTGTTCACTGCTTACCCATCTTCCATATTAAATAAAAATAGATTCATCAATTCTTCTGCAGATTTTATTCATTGCTACAGCATAATCTTGTAGAGAGTCTACTGGCTAGAATATGTCATTTTTCTTTGTCTTTATCCATGTTTTATAATTATGAAAGCAAGACACGTACAAAATACAGCCTATTTCAACATAGATTTATTTTGTGCATTTGGATGATTTAAATACCACGACTACTTGGCAATTTCACATCAGTGTGACTCTGGCACAAAGAGTTAGTAGACCTATTTGCATCTGAAGCTTTGAGAAATGCAAATAAAGTTCAAAAAAGACTTGGTCAATTGCTTACCAGGCTCTTGATTGTGGTTTTTGTGAAATTTTCCATCCAGCTGGTTGCATCAATTTTTATTCCAACAACTAACAAGAAATACATGAAAGACTTTTTTTAGTAAAATGAAAAAAAAAGGTAATGTAGAATCCTAAAATAAAGGGGAAAATTATAAGAACATCTAAATCATTGAACTGCAGAAGGGTAAAACATGAGTTTTGCTCAGTTGTCTGATCACCAGCATCCTTCATGAGACTAATAAATTAAGCACTCTTACTCAAATACAACCAGATCTTTGGCTTGATTTCCTCTAGCAAGGTTAGAACTGTTTCATGGAAAATAATGTTATTATAAAGTGAAGTGTCTTTGAAATCTCAATTAACTTTCTAATTCACTGTTGAGCAACAACCAAATAACTAAACTATTTAGAGTTTTAGCACCATTCTGTCTTACCTGCTGGCTTCAGATGTTTTCCATTAATGTCTATTTCCACAGCCTTGCTTACCATAATACCTGATTCATAGCTATTGGCACCACTTTCTGACAGTATAGAAAGGGAAAAACAAACAAATAGAAAAAGTTAGGATTATATAAAAGCCTCTTCCTCTGAAACTTAAATTATTATTCAAATACCCAGAGTGATTTAAAAAAATCCTTATCCAAAAGCACTGACCCAGCTGTAATACACATCACCTGTGGTAGCTCAGATCACCAACACCTGCATGACTAAGAGGAACACTTCTGCTTACTTTTTTCATTCACTTTTTGTGCACTGTTTGACTGCTTCATAAAGTTACTATAGCCTTTTTTTCTTCTGCAAACAGAGCCACGAATAGCTTTACACATGTGAGCAGCTCTGTTAAAACCAGGATCCCAGCCAAAGATTTTATCCTGCTGTTGTTTATGTATTTTTCAATGCAGGGTATACTGACACCACTCACTAACCAACAACTACTGTTCTGACAGACTTCAGCCTGTTTTCAACACTGCTTAGTATGAGAAGGCAAGTTAAAGCTCCATTCCTTGGAGCTATTTGAGGAACAACAAAGGCTTCAGGGAATTCAGTTAATTATCTTCTTTATATTTTATTGAGAAAAAATGCAATAAATAATTATGAAATAACAGCACTAAAATATCCCACATGTTTAGGAGAGGAGTATGTTGTTTGTGGTAGCATCTGCTTACAAACAAACAGATTTAAGAAGGTTAATGTTGCTCACATCAGTCATGAGCATTTACTTTCATGCATATATAACTTTTAAATGTCACGATATTTCAGACAAATTGGTTTTGGTGAGTAATATAAATTAGAAATAGAATTCAAAAGCAAAGTTTAAATTAAGGTGGTTGTCCTGGTTAGAACGGCTGGGACCAATTCATCACTGGATGGGTGCAACCCAAAACTGTGTATTCTATAGCCGTCCATGCCATTTCCCAGAAACTGCTGTCAGTAGAGACCTGCAAGGTGGGAAGATGTTCCTATACCCTTTTATGGAATTCCTCGCTCTGATACCCCTTTATGGAATTCCCCGCTCTGATACCCTTTTATGGAATTCCCCGCTCTGATACCCTTTTATGGAGGAGGGACTGAGCATCCGCATGCCCTTTTATGGAATTCCCTACTCTGAGGGAGGGACTGAGCACTCCCGCCTGAACTGGAGAGTATATAACTGGGAGTTTCAGAACCTTGCCACCTCTCGTGGGATCCAGAGGAAGACTCCAGACCACTGCCTTCAACTAGACTGAGACCACCACCCTCGACTGGACTGCAATCACCACTTCTGACCAGACTGCAGCAGCTCTCCCACCAGCAGGTTTATCCCCTCTCCCTTTGCTTTGGACTCGGGGGTGGGCCAAGGTACACCACTCTTGTTCATACCCTAGGGTGCTGGTTTATACATTTGGGTTTTGTGGGTTAAAACCAATTGTCTGTCTGTATAATTGTACTTATTGCATTATTTTAATAAATTGTTATTCTGACTTATAAATCTCTCTTTTGAATTGAGTTCATTTTCCCTTGCTGGTTAACTTTTAAACCAGTACAGTGGTGCAGTGGACAGAGTTGTGAACTCTGAACCTTTTTACCTGCTGCCCCAAGTCAGGTTTGGTGCTGAGGCAGCATACAGAACTCAATCCAAATATGACTTTTTAGGTAGTGTTATTGTTTCTGAGTGCAATTTTATTTCACTTCCTGTTAAAATAATTCTGCCGAAGTATCTCTGTAAAAAAGTGTTTCAATATGTTAAATGAACACCAGTACTCTGCATGTTTTCAACTTCATTAATTCTGAGTATACAGGGCCACTGGAGTTGATGAAAAATTATAAATACCCTTGTTTGGCGCCCTCCTAGCTGCCTGTTCCTTAATAAGGGGTATTGTCCCAAGATTTCTTTCCTTATAAAGTGTCCCACTTGCATCTTTTGTCAATGACTTTGACTGGTATGGAAAACTTCCACTTATATTGGACTAGCTAGCTCTGACATTTTGAAACAGTGATGACTTACTGTTGTAGTATGGAGCTGTGAAAATATAGTTGTTATTATCTAAACTCCTTTTATAGAAGCTGACTTCATAAGTTTCAGCATTTTCCAACCAGTCTTCTCCTGCCCTAAATACAAAAAAATATTAGTGATCAAAAAAGACAGAATCTCATTAAAGTTGTGCTGCAGGTTATTTTCTTTTAATGTTTCACAGTTGGAAAAAATGATTCATTCTTCTAGTCCTCAGATTTTGTCAGTTTTCACTGGTTAACTGGCAGGTGTCATTATTTTAAAAAAAACGCTTTTGAAAAAAAGAAGAAAATAATATTCTTGGAACAATATGAATCTTGTCTCATCACTTTTAGATATATGGAGTCAAATATAACAGCAACACTACTTACAAGAAAATCTAAACCAACTTTTACAGCACATGCTATCTCTTGAGCTTAATCCTAAAAGATTTAATATCATTAATAACCGCAAAGTAGGAAAGAAACTGACCTGGGGAGTAAAATTCATTGCTATTTTCATATTTGGGGGAAACACAGAATAAACCAAGAAACCAGATAAATCTGCAATTTACCAGTATGTCTCTACTGGTGCCCTCACTATTCCCAGTTACTCATGGGGGTGTCTAGTTTATTATAAATCCAATTTCATATTCCCTTTTTGTCCTCTGGTAATGATACATTTTTCTCTCTTGAAGTCCCTGAACCGTTTGGCCTGATCTTAGTCTAAAAAAAATTAAACCACCTGTTACCTTCCAGTATTTGTGGCCTGCCAAACAACTGAGTGCTTGGGAGCAATTAGGGATTAGCATGGCCCCACTGCTGCTATAAGAGCATTGCTTTTACTGCTGCTCTACACTGATTAGAAACTTGGATTGCACGGACCTGTCATGAAAATAATGTTACGGATCAGTTTGAAACAATGACACAGGTAAAACCAAAGAAAAACAAGACATTCCATTCATTTCCTAGCTATCAGTACAGATTAGACTGTAGGAGACTGTAGTTTTTCATTCAATAAATCCACTATTTAACATTCCACCCTTTCACATTTCAAAATTATCATATTATACTATTTTATAATAATTCTTACCTTTTGGGGAATACTCTAGTAATTCCACCGTCTGTAACAACAAATTGTGCAACAACTCCATCACTGTAAAAAAATAAGATTTAAAATGAAAACTGACTGAAAATCTCACAAGTTCCTACGTCAAGGGTTGCCATTAAAGTGCATAATTGTGTATTAAATACCTATTCTGTGTAGACATTAACTGCATATCTGTATATAGACACAGATGTATATTATTTTAAAATCAAACTTTGAAATGCATTAAAAAAATTACAGTCAATAAAAAGAATACTTACAGAGATAGTTTACTCCAATAATGTTGGGCAAGTTCATTCGTAAATCCTGCATCGAGCAAAACTCTAATGACCATGTCGGTATTACCTATCAAAAGAGTTAAGACACTCATCTGAAACCATATGAGATGGAGTTTCATTAAAAGCTAAAATGAAATTCTGAGTTGTCTAGTCACAAAATTTGGGCTATTTCTATTAGACATACTGGCCAACGTCAAATTACATCAATTAATTAGTGTGAAATAGATTGCTCTCACACTACTGAATTCACTTATACATTTCCTTCACTGTATCCTAAAAAACTTATCCTCATGTAATAGGAATAAGCAAGGTGATAAGGGTATAGTTCCCAGCTTTGCAAAACCTCTATGTTAAATCTGGAAATATTTTCAAAGCATGTTTTTATTAAAACACTTTTTAGCTTTATATGGGGATGTCGTGTTTAAATTTCTTTAAAAAGATGGTTTGAAGTCAGAGTGCTTTTCAAGTATCTTTTTCAATACCACTTTGGAAGAGAAAGTTCTTACAGTATATAGATTATTCCTTTTGAAAAGCATTTTTAGCTTTCAGTGTTATTCATTCCTTTAGTTACAACTGTTTTCTTATTAGGGAGACTATTTTTAAAGTAACTTAATTATTAGGGGGAAAAGAAAAATTAAAAAAGCCAATTTTGACATGTATTCCAAAATGAAATATAGAAATATGTAGAAAGAATTTTGGAATAATTACTTATTAAGCCCCGTTGTATACTACAATATCACTAAATGTGTCCTCAATATTTGCTTATATAAGTAGTGAATATTAAACTAGAATTTTTATTTATTAACTGCTTTAGTCATTGGAGGTCAATGTTTTCATTTTCAATGCTTAGTCAAGGGATTCAAACAAAATTTCAGTCAGTCAGCAATGTGTCAATGAATAAGATCACTCTACTAAAAAGTGCATCAAACATCTACACATGCACACAAAAATAGCCTTTTGTGAGAAGATCTCATATCTAAGTGCACATTCCTCCAGTTACATGGTCTAACAGAGAGATTCTTTCTGAATTGATCAGTGATCCCTGACAGAAACATGGTAAAAAAACCTGGGGAATGCAAGACAAAAAAAAAAGTTTATTCCTACTATTTATAAATTACTTATAACGCTAAACAGATGCGTGTGTGCAAAACCAAATCCAAACATCAAATTTTTCATGAAAACAAGACTTTAATACCTTATTGATGGTTCATTCAAAAGTGTTTATTCTAAACAGAGGTTAAGGCCCTATTTCAAAACATGAATCCCAAAGCCCAGGCTCACCACTGCAGCAGTTACATGGATCTGTGGTCTTGAGCTATTCAAACCCAAGTGAAATCTCTTTAAACAATTTGTGAACCAGTAATGGAACCTCCTTATCTTTTATTCTGGTTGTTTTGGTTCTGGACTCCTTTACTTAGTTTGGAACAAAATTATAAGAAAGTAGACTGAAGATTTCATTACAAGAGTTTGAATCAATTTGGGACTTAATTTGGCTGATACACTGAAGTGAAAAAATATATATTCAAAATATTTGCAGTGTATTAAAAAGTTATTTGATGCTTGAACAGAATGCTGAGAGGAATTATGGAAAACACTGGATGCATAATGCCCTGAAAACTTTCTTAAATAGAGCCAGAAACTTGCAAACTAATTTAACAATCTCTATCTTGGATGGAAAATCCTGACACTAGATATATTTCTACTAAAAAACCAAACCCACAGGATTTGAGCATGACCTCTCATTTATGAGAAAGTATTTTTCTAAGGAAAAATTTCAGTGAATTGAGAAGCATACTTACATGATGAACTGTTTGGAGTATTTCTGTCAATAAATTCATTGAAATTTAATAGAAATTCAGTGTTGTTTTCTGATTTTTTTACATCATTACAGTATTCTCTGAAAAACAACAGAATATCAGCCTCCTCAGATTTGTTCCCTTTGCTACTAAAGCAGACAATTCTAAAGCCCAGCAGGATTGTACTACTATGATGAGGTAGCTGCCACTACTGTGCCAAGTGACTGCCATGTTCAATGCTGAATGATGACCGTACCAATTATTTCAGGCATTACAGGAAATAAGGTGTTCAAGTGCCTGCCTGAATCTGATTTATAGAAAAACTGCATGTATGAAATAGGGCATAGTTTCCCAGAAAAAACTCAGGACTATGAAATTAGGAGATCATAATCTGTAAACTAAATATAAAAATGCCCAGTGAATTTAAACTGCTCCTGGGTTAAACTGTACTGGAAAGCACAGAGCCTGCTGGTGAAACATAGTCACTTCATGCTCAACTAAGGCCAGATTTATGAACCCATTACTCATAGGACTCAGAAGAAGTATTAAAGGCAGTTTTAGTAGGGTACAGACCACATAAACATATAAACACTCTTTGTTTTGACATATGCAAAACAAATAAACAGTAAACTATTCTTTATACCATGTAATAAAGCACTATATCATCAGGTAATTCACTGAATGCAAGCAAGCAAAATAAAAGTCATGGGTATTTTGGAGGTAAACAATGGATGGTGTGTGGCGTTAAACAACTTTAATTAAAACATAGAGAGTATTTAGCAGTCAAGCAGGGGCCTCTCTTTTTTAAATGAGCTTTTAATATTTAATTAATTTTACTAATAAAAGAAGTATGTTCAAGTATTTCATATGACTAAGATGTCGTATTACCTTTTATTTATGTTACCACGATCCTGAAACACTATAGGCAGACTTTGCCTTACTACACCAATATTCACATTTAAACAGAACCACATATCAAACATACTTTGTTGATGTAGGACAGCCTAACAACTAGGGATTTGTTGGAAACTGCTAACTGGTACAACTGATTATCAATAACCTCAGTCTTTCAGAAAAATAAATTAAACAGTTAAGCTGAGATACATTTTAAGATAGAAGAATTTTACATACCATCAATCTAGTCATGGAAATCAATCTATTAATTGAATCTTAAATGTATACAGAAAATTATCAGATAAATAAGGAATGCAACAATTCTCAACTGATCTTAACTGTACAGCATTTCCTTTATATATCATAACTATCTTTTAGACAAACAATTTTTAAAAACTGTTTATCATACTAGGTTTCCCTTGCAAACATAAATTTAAAAGGACAACAAGGTCTGTACAATTTCACATAAAAAGCCCCAGGGAACTAATGAATCTAATCAATTTTCAATCATTAAATAATTTTTAAGTTCAATGAATCAAAAATTAACTCATCCTTAAGTGATAGAGAGCTTTGAAACCCTTTGTCTTGAAGTTGGGAAACATCTTGACATAGGTATTAGGGAACTTATTTTAAAAATGAGAGCCTAAGGTACAAAGTTGTAAAATCTTAAAAGTCAGAACCATGAGAAATGAACACATATGTATAAGTTTTCCATTAAAACATCAATATCAGATTTTACATCTCTCTTTGATTGATATAAACAGGAATCAGAGACTGAAGATGCTGTTTACTTTCCAGCAAGAAGAAAAGACAGACAATATTTTACCAAAATGAAACTTTATTGGTCAAGTCTGTATTTTTTATGTGCCATTAATCTGATCAAATGCCTATTTGCTGAAATAATACTTATTATTGGGAAATTAACTAACCTTGGTGCTATAAACGTATAGCCAGCTTCATCAAAATGATCAAGCTTCAGTGTTTCTGTAACTACAAAGATGAAGAGTAAACACCAAGTAATTAAATTAGGATTTTTGCCATCATTTCTCTTCTCAAACTATTAGGTTAACTTTTGCATGCATCCATGAATTTGGAAAGAAATGTTTATTTTGAGACACTTTTCTACTAATATACTGTGTACGTCTCAGTATTTCACAGTATAGGAAGCAATTACATTATATACAACATACACCTGGAAACAAGAAGATATATCTAACAATTTATTTAAAGAGGACATTTAATCAGCATGACAACATGAAAACATATGACATGTTTTCATTAGAATTACAATCCAATACAAAGAAATATTTGGGACACTAAGTTGTTAGAAAATGAAGAAAAATGCTCCTACTATTTTCTGCGATAAAGTTTAAAAACTTCAATTGTATTAACATCACTGTCAATCCTACTGAAAATAATGGTTTTAATAGCTGATATTACTGAACATTGATAGGACCAGACAAAGAAGGATTAGAGATTAGCAACATATTGAAATGTACATGAAAACAGAAAAATACTCCACTTTTTTTCCCCTTTCTATTGCTATGGTATCCAATGATTATGGAGAAAATCCTGAGGTGAGTAATACAGAGGAGAATATCCAGTAGGAACAGGAATATAAGTGAAAAATATCAACTGCAGTAAACAGAAGGAAATTGAGCACAAGAATATACTTGCCCTTTTTCCTTGTGACTATCCATCAGAAAGAGAAAGCAGGGAAACAGAAAAAAACAGGGTAAAGCACAAGGGGTCACAAACCAATATTTTATTCAAACAGCCCCTTGAATAAAAATATTGTACATAGATAGATCAAAGGTTCAATTTACATACAGCTATAGTCTGGAAAAAAAAGGACAAACATCTCTGAAGACTGAAGAATATGCCCTTGTCAGTTATTTCTCAGTACCTTCTATATACTGTGGCTATTTCAAGGGTCTGTTTTGCAGGTTATATTGATATAAGTGCAAAACCAGATGACCTAATCCATCAAGAGAACCATATTCTTTCCTTAAAACTTTAATTTTAAACTACTTACTATTGAACAAAGTTACAAAATAAATCACTGATTATTAAAAAGTTGCCATATCCCACTTCATATGCAGGAGGCAATGGTAGAGGAAAGTGATGTAGTGCTACCAACTTTTCTCTAACAGTATTTATGTCTGTCAGAGTTTCATTGTGCTTTTCTAACTTTCTATTTAACTACATACTTGTTCTAAGTATACAGTTAAAAGGCTGTGATAGGTTTTATTTCGTGTACTATCTAGACTACACATAATAAACAAATAGCATTTCAATATTGAAAAGTGTAATTTCTAGCTATCTCTCCAGAATTGGTAAGTGGTTTGAAATTAGTCTAATCTAAAAACAGAATACGAACATCCACTAAAACTATACATAAAATGCAAAATAAAAGCCTAACTGCAAGCCAAACCAAACAGGGCTTTCACGTTGCTTTATTCCTACAGGCAGCAGAGGTCATCTGCTAAATATTATACTGTAACTAAAATACAAAAAATGCTTTATTATCATAGTTTATATCACTACATTTTGCTAATAGAATGAAAAAAAAGCAGTATCCAGACCCTTAAAATGACAGCAACAGAGGATACACAAAGCAATGATTCTATAGGCACAGAGTAAGGGGGAAGGGATTGTCAGTGGAACTGGGGTACCTGCACATATTCTATTTTTATAGAATATTTCTTGCACCTTGAATGTTACAACGGGTTAGAATCATTGCTGCAGATTTTGGGTACATCATGACACCATCAGTGAATTCCACAAAAGTTATGAATTTCAAACATTGCTTTTTAAGTGAATCTGAGATTTGGCAATACTAGACAAAAACAGGGAACCTTCACAGTACTTACATTTGGCTTGAGTTATTGGTTCTTCTATTTTGGCTTTAATATAATAAAAGCTGTATGATGGTAACACCAATGCCAAGCTGCAATTGAAATTAGACAAGTAAAGTAATTATGTTATTTGCAGCAGTTTTCCACTTTCAGCTTCTCTGTATTTTGAAAGCAATTAATAAGTTTGGAGGTTGGATCATTATGAGATGAGGTGAGATGGTCACACAGTGACACACCAGCCTCACACTTCATAAGAGACACGAGTAGGTTTATGCCAGTCCTGAGCTTCCCTGTATTTACTTTCATTCTTATTTATACTTTTAAGCATAAATGCATTTTTAACAGATAGGTAAGGAATTTCCAAATAATTGCAAATAAAAAAAATAAATTATCTCTTGTATTTTCTTCTGACACATTTAACATTCCAGTGTAAAATGTCACAGTGATCACTGACTACAAAAACATCATTTAGTACTGCACAGATTTGCACACAATATAATGAGAGAATCTCCTTCCACTAATAAAACCACTATCAATATTCATTAGAAAATACATCTGGCAATACTTGAATTCACATTATAGTCAAGATCCAAAATATGTTTTTAATCATGCAGTCACCACTAATAACTTTTGAGCATAATTGTGTAATCTCATTTTAAGACTTGCAGAGCATTTGCAACATATTTTCTTTCAGATTATATTTATTTTTGTTCAAAATATATAGGACTATTTGCAGCTAAATTCAATATATCTGTAGAAGAGTTCAGGTCTAAAAAAGTATGTAAAGGACAGGAAGTATGAGTAATCATTAAATAGGTATCATCATCTGCCAGGTCGCATACTTAATTTTCGCACTTGGATTTCATCCGTGCAGAACTGCAATGGTTTCTAATGGATAGCTGCAGAAATTAACATTAAAAAAGTTGTACAATTGAGCCATAAAGGAGCTGACCTTTAATGACACCTTTGCCATTTAAACAGAATGTGAGTGAGATTGCTGAATATTTAGTGATAGCCTTCTACCAATTCTCCTCTAGGGAAATCAGTGGCAGTTTACCTGTAATTAGCAGTTACTGCTAGCAGAAATTGCTAATTAAAATCTATAATTTTATGTTTAATAGGTTTTCTGTAACAAGACTCCATGGATTTATTGCTGTACCTCATGCCAGGGAGCTCAGGAGGAACTAAGAAGTCACATAAATGTATTTCTCTAAAGATTGCTAGACGGCAGTCTGATAAAAAACTTTATTTTCTTACAGCCTATAAAGATAGAGGCAGTTCAACAGAAAAATGGGATGGTGAATAAAAGATCCTAGGTTTACATTCTCTTGTTAAAACTGATTTGTTTGTTTCTATATACAAATTAATGTTTGCATTCTCAGTGACTGTAACCTGGGATCCAACTTGGCTGAGGACTACAGTGATTCACCACAACAAAAACAGACTTCTGGTAAAAATTTGACTCAATATTTGTACCATGAAGTTTTGAACTAGAGTAGTTTAACTTTTCTGGGACTTGGTAAACCATAACTTGTTTGGGATAATATAGAGTTTCTACATTCTTTCTAATGTTACAGAGCTGTGTGCTTAAATGTTTTTGAAATAATATACAGTGCCAGTGTTGCATTCAAGGGGGGATACTTTTACCCATTATTTCATTTGTTCCTGCTGCCACTGACCAGGTAATTTTTACATACAAAGCAGAATCCATGCTAACTAGTTAAACTTGTCAAAAATAGATTCAGATTTCAGAGATAATCAGTAGCTCAGCTCCTACTCCTAAGGTCCCACATGAAGGTTAGAAAAATCATGTTATAAGCAATGACTGTGACTGAGAAGTGTTTACATAAAACAGGTCACATTTTTTTATTTAGACCAAAATATTGCATCTTCCTTTTTAATACATATATTAAAGCAGGAACATGGAGACAGTGTAAAAAAAAGCTAAAATAAGAGGGTGAATCTAATAGAAAGGATACAAGAATCACAGCATATTGTGATACAGCAAGTAGGAGGAAAAGTGATTCTTAACCTCAATTATAAATAATGTTTTTTCCTACATAAATCTCAACAATTGGACAAAAAATGAGTTCTAGTCCTTAGACAGAGCAACAAAGAAATCTGTAAAGGAACCCAGAAAATCTTACAGGCCTGGATACAAAAATCACCTTGGCCTGATTTAGCTAGTACAGAAAGTGTAATGCTGAAAATATTAACCAAAATAAACCAAAAGAACATTAAACTAAGCAAAGGAAGTCAGTGAAGTGAGTTACCTGTAATCAGTGCCATTCACAGCAGTCCAAGTATATGTTCTGTTTCCTTTATCAATATACCTCTACAAAGAGATATTAGTAAAAAAAATAAATTTTTAAACTCTGGATCTTCAACAAGTATGACCTTTCTTTGAGAAATACAGTGTTAAATGAAAAAAAAATCTGTTGGATTTGTATTAATTATTTTGCTAAAAGCATGAGTTGAGCTGCAACTCCTTTTCTTAAATATTTTCCAAACTTATATTTTGCAAAAGAATCAACTATGTAATTTTTATTGAACATTAGTGGAATGTAAATTTAAATAAAACCAGACAAACATGACCTATAATTTTCCCTTTTAAATTCATTACCCAGACATATGCAAACCTTTTTCTATGTGATTTCAATTAGTTAAAAAAATGTTATCTCTTTTATGGATCATTTTACAGTTAAACTACAAATAGAAAAAAAAATAACCAAAAACCCCCAAAACTCAGTTGAAAATCTTTAACATCAAAAAAACACCCAGTGCCTGTCCTTTCATGTCACAGCACTACTGGCACTACTGGCTAAATGCATTTAAATTCGAATCATAATTATAGGCACAGCTAGGTAATCTTGATTGTACAGACACCTTATGCTAAACTTACATGTGTTTCTAATCTCGTTAAGAGGGCCTTGGATTTGGGAAAAAAAAATAAACACTGAAGTAAATGTTTATTTTTAAATAACTTAATACATTAGGATAAACTTTACCATTTGTTTTCTTGTGGTATGAAAAATAGTGTCATATGCACAGTCCCACAGTTTCCCATAGATTTAATCATGAATCCACCTGGCTGACATTGTTTTACTCAGTTTTTCACTTTGAAAACTATAATTTTATGCCAGCTGCAACATATTATATTATTATTTTACAATCAGAGTTTTGTAAGTATGCCAGTAATGAAGACTGTACAGCTGTTGCACTGCAACATTACAAACACTGGTGAAAGGTACCACAGGTAATCTCTGCCCTCTTTCTTTTCCTATGGTAAAAGGATAGCGAGAAAACGACCATGGTTGTGGAAAAGTCTTATTTGACTTATAAATCGAAATCTTCTCATTACCTGGTGACTGCTTTTCAGTACAGAATGACAGTGTAAATAATTTAATAGCAATTTTGGAAAGAAAATTAAAAAAGTATAAAAGAAAAACAGAGAAAAAAGATGTATATATCAGTGTCTAATGCCCTGATACATTTCACATTTAAGGTAAAAATATGGTTGAAGAGATTCCTATCCAAGCCTACTTATATTCAATGATGTGCCCATACTATTACTTCAGCTTAAGACTAAGTAGACATTTGAACCTAGTGCTGGAATTCCCTCCAAATTGGGCACGGGGTCATGGATCACACACCAGGTATCTCCACAAAAGAAAAGCAGTGCTCAAGGTGGGAGGGAAGGAAGAGAAGAACTGGGCTGTTTTTAAATCCTATTGTGAGCATGCTTGAAAGCAAATTGGTTGAAACTTTCCTTCAAAGGTAACCCATCACACGTCCCATTTACCTTTGCCTACTTCATTACTGAGCAGTCTGAGATCATCTCATCCCCAGCTAATCTCTGTCAAAGAACCCACACATGTTATTGCAGCTTTTGTGACCCTTTGGTTTTCACTACTGCCCACCCCGGCTGCCAAATGTGGCAATGCTTTTGTTCCTATGGCATTTTCTCTGTTAGTTGGAAAGCCCCTGAGGCCTTGGGAGACTCCAGCGCACCCCACCCACGCTTGCTACAAGTCCAGTCTCTATCCTGTAGTATGAAGTCATCTCCCAAGGCACTGCTGGGGCCAGCTGCAATACAAAAGGAAAGCAATGCAAACTTAAACCAAAAAGCAAAACAAAAAGAACGTAAATTTTAGGCCTGAAGACTACAACTGTCAGTTCAGAGCAACCGACCACATCAGCCCTTTTTATAAGAAAATATATGAAGCTATCAAGTGCTAAGTGATGCATGGCTCATGCATGGCCCGTGGTTTAAAGCAGTTTTATTCTGGTTCTAGCAGCCTGCAGCTGGGAGGGTGCAATGGCCTGGAGCAGTCATCATCGCCAGCCAGCTCTGGCTGCTCCCTTCTTCTCCCAGAGAGGTCTGGGTAGAGGAAGAAATCTTGGGCCATGATGCAAGGGAAGGTGAGGGTAATTAATTTCATTGGCACTTGAAGCATCTGGGATCAAAAGGCTTGGGATATTATATTCAAACACAGATTGTCGTCTGGGCCGTGTGTAACTGGCACATTCTCACGCACCCAGGGATGTAACATTCCTCCCTCCTGCCCTGGTGCTGTAACTGACTTTAGCATTTGCAATGCTTCCCTCTCTCCCTCTTTGGCCAAAGAATTGCAGGACCAACTGTTTCAGGTCTTTTGTATCATAAAGCCTGAGAAATGTAAGAACAGCCTGAAATCTCTTCAACATGTTTGCCATTAAAGCAATTTCTTGTACAACCCTAACCATGTTATTGTATTTTTGTGACCTTCTAACCCTCCATCTTCTGACCACCTACACAGAGCCCTTTTCACCCATAGGCTTGGAAAGGAACTCCTTAAACAGAACAACATAAATCTGAAAATATCCCAGCATGGAGTCTCTCCTTTCTGGAGCAGTTTATCCTCAGCACAGATGCCAGCAGGAATTGGGACTCTCTGACAGTGGGTCAGGAGTGACCAACTCTCCCTTCAAGGAACAGGCTGGCGGCATCTTAAACAGCATGGACTCCTGACACAGATGAGGGAGCAGAACTGACATCCAATGGAGCTTGTCCCCTCTGCCCTAGAAAGGATCTATTTGTTCACCACCCTCCACCAGTGAAACCATTCAGGAAAAGACACATTTTTTTTCACATAGCAGGATTGACCCAGAGATTGTAAAGCAGCATTGTAAAGCTTTCTTTTGGCATTTTACTCTGGGAAAGCACACAATAGAGTCCTGATAGAAGGCAAGGGGACTGCTGATACAGGTCTCTGCTTTAGAAGAATATTGAAAGAGGTGAAAGGCAGTATGAAGTTGGATACAGAGAATTAGTGTGGGTAAGTTTAATGAGATCATGAGACTCCACAGGGTCAAGGACCATAAGTTTAAGGCATGCTTTGTATCTGGACAACTTAAGTGTGTAAGGCTTGAGTTGACTTGGTTTTCCTCATAGAGATTAATGTAGTTCTGCTGCCTATACGATTATATGATCATCACTATAATCATCTTTCAGCTAAGATCACCTTGCAGACTTTCGAAGAACTTGAGATTGCTGTCCTGTCCTTATTTGCACTCCTATTAAATTACATGATCAGAAGCAGAGTGCTTTGTCAAATCCAGTGCAGATACTAAGAAGCTGAGGAATGGTTATGAGATGTCCATCTTTGGGTCATCAGTAAACGAAAGACATAGACCTGTTGTGGTAGATCCAGATGAAGGGCACAAGTATGGTGGGAGGGTTGGAGCACCTCTCCTATGAAGACAGGCTGAGAGAGTTGGGGTTGTTCAGCCTGGAGAAGACTCCAGGGAGAACTTATTGCAGCCTTTCAATACTTCTAAGTATGTCTCCAAAGGCCTGTTGCAGATCCAAGTGACCATGAACTAGACATTCTGAAATCACAGCATGAATGAATTATTGGGATGTTTGAGAAAATTCTCCTCCATTTTCAGTCTCATTTAGCAAAGACAACATGGGCTCTGCTACTAATTTTCACCCACAAAGACAAGTAAGTTTCTACCATGTTTAAAGCAAGAATAGCCTAGGAATATAAAACACTTTTTTCTGTCAAAGTGAGAACAAGTATATAAGAATCTTCCCTCAATGTAGGATTGATTTAGAGGAGTGGTAAGAGGGACTGCTCGGTATTGGGAGTAGTTTAAAAGTTAATACCAGTTAAGAAATTGAATGGAATATAAGTAAGGAATGTGCTGTTTTTAACAGAATAAACCCCCCCTATTCTCTGAGGCCTGTTTCCTATCGACTTAACCTGATTACTTTCTTTCTGCATCATATGTCTTGTGAGAAGGAGGAAATTTCTTCTGGAACATTCTGACACTTAAGTACGAACAGCAGAGCTGTTGCAATATCAAAGTTACAGGAGATCAACAGGAAAGGACAGCTAATACCATACATGGAAAATAAACTGCACAGTTCCAAGAAATTCTGCCAAGTACTGTTAAAGTGTGCTTATATATAAGGATGTGCAGTGTCTGCTAAATCATTAAATTAGCTATCTTCAAGATGGTTTATATTCAGAGTAAAAAAGTTTCAAAAAGCTGTTGTACAACTGTAACTGGAGGGCATACTCTGGCCAGAACTGCTCCTTCAGAACACCAGTAATCATTTCTTCTTATTAAGGTCCTAGAGAAGTAGAGCACAAATGAAAGGATCAATTTTGAATATTTACTATTGCTAGGAAATGTTTCTGTGCATTAAAGAAAACAATAGCAATGTTTATCAGGAATAAGCATTTGGGACAAGAAAATAAAGAACTCAACAAGCTGTTTGGAAAGTACATGATATAACTGTAAGAGGAATTTGCTTATCCCAAATAGTCTTCATTTATGGCATAAAAATTTTACTTTTTTTTCTCACTGCTTTCTTCCCATTCAACCACAATATAAACTACCAAACCCATCCTCACACATCTCCACAAGCAAATTAAGCACTTTGTTTTGGGATTCATACACAGAAGTAGGCTGGGTCCATTTCCTGGTGAACAGAGTGTAAGACCTCATCAACAACTGCCTGATTAATGATGCACCAAAGAAACCAAGAAACAAAACAATTCTTTTTTTCATAAGAACATAATTTTTTTTTACTATAAGCCAGTCAAAATAGCAAATCTAGAGGGAAAAATGGTACAAACTGTCATTAAAAAATGAACATCACAGCATTTCACCATTTCTCAGTATTTTTCTGGTTTGGTTTGTTCCTGTAAATGTAATTCCTTGTGTTCCTTTCTTACCTCATCTTGGGACTTGACCAGTGTTTCAAAAGTTTTTTCTCCACTTTCTCCATCTATCATTTTTTTCCGAATCTATTGGCATGGGAGAAAAGGGAAAAGGAAAAGAAAGAAGGTATAAGTGTTGCATTTAACATGAATAATCTTTTCAGTGTTCAAAATATTTCATGGAAACACAGAACACATATGAAAGTCACACCTTTTGTCTAGCATTTCTTGTGCCTCCCAGCACATCTTTGTGATGTAGTAACACTGATTCACAAAAACATTTTTGTATCAGTTCGAGAGAAACTTGTCTCTGAAGCAGCCATTTCAAAGAAACTTAAGGCAGAATTTGACAGATACTGAGGAATGCTGGTTAATGTCATGAAAGAACAATTTCAAACTGAGTGAAAAAATTCTGATTTCTGAATGTATTACAAAATCAGTAACTGAAAAATATACAGAGGAATTAACTTGTTGTCAACACTTAACTTTTTTTCTCAGTTCTCTTTCTCACCACAGTAATAATCTTGTCTTAATAAGAGATAGGAAAACACTCCTAAAATATTTCAAGTAATATTTTGATATTCTATTAAAAAGTGTTCCGTTTTAAAAAATTTTTCTATCCCCCTCCCCTTCTTAGGAATTGTTACGTTATGAAGAAAAATAATTTAAATAGCAATCATGGCACCATTCAAAATGAGAGGAATATAATTCATTGCCCTTGCCTACAAATAATATTGGAACTTAATTTGTCTAATTATAATTTCATCTCTATAAAGTAATCTTTGCCTCTCAGTTATTATACAGTGAAATACAAGCAGCAACAATTATTAAGAAAATAGGTTATTTACCTCAACTTTAATATCATTTTCCAATTCAGCATCTAGAAAATCCAGAGTAACAGGCTCCTGGGATTTAGGATTCTGAAGCAGAAGATATTGAATGATCAAATAATAGAGACAGAGTACTGTAATGTTACAAATCATTCTAATCCTTTAATTCCAAAATAACCTACTTAACTGTGTTTACTTACCCATCTGTTTTAATCTCTTGCAGCACTACTAGTGGCTCTTTCTCATTTATTTTATTTTGTTAGATAGAGAGGTTAATTGGCTAAGTGCAAATCAAATTAACACTAATTGCTGGTGTTTGTCCACAGCCTGTTATGTATGGGTCTCGTACTGGGATGCTACTTCCCCTTCTCCTGGCATGTCACAGATTGTACAGGGTGGGAGCAGACACATCAGAGGAGGCACAGATATGAATGTCTTACTAGATGTCCTGCCCCCAAGAAGGGAGAGATAAATTTGGGAGTGTTTTCCAATAAGATAAGTACAGCCAACTGTACCCTTCTGCAATTTTGCCAAGAGCAGACTACAGACTTGCTGTTATGACTTGGAATGGACTATGGTTCAAGACTCAAAAAGGCGGCAATTAAAGCAAATTATTTGCGTTTTATAAAAAACAAACCCCACTTTTATTGCCAGCATTACAGGACTTCCCTGAACACCTTGCAGTTTTGAAAGCATTTCTCTTGACATCAGGACTGTTATCTCAATTTAAGAGATGGAAACCTGTAGCACAGAAATACTGAAACACAAGCTTCCAGACTTAAGGAATGTAGATGATGTCAAACTTCAACTATAATGTGCGGAGAATTTTGGTGGTCTGCATTTGCAGTAATCCTGGCCCCAAAGGAGTGTGGGAAGACCATTGTAGCTCTGCTGAACAAGATCAGACCACCCTCCGGCCTCGGCTCCTTTCTCAGTTGCAGTCTGCACTTACTCCGCCAAAGCCACCTTCCGTGTGAATTGTAAGGAATCCGACTTTTTTTTAGCAATTTTGCCTAAGCCTCATTGACTTTATATTGTGTGTGGTGTAAAAATCATCAATCTTCATCATCCAGCTAAATGAGTGCATAATAAACCCAGTTATTTAGTGTACCAAGCTAAAAGTGAGTGCATTTCTTTAGAAAAAGGAGTGTGTCGATATATTATTTAACTATTTAAATATGATAGTTCAGAGTAGAAAATGAAAAAAAGTTTTCTTAATTTTTTTGATTGATAATTATTTGCTTTGTGTAATAGCCCAGTTCATATATGAAAGGATCTCAAGGCCTAGTTTTCTCAGTAATTGAGCACTGTTTCTCATACGATTAGCAACACAAAATTTCTCATTAGCTGACACTATTGCTTCAAGACTAGTGTAATTTCTGACAATGGCATTTTTAAGAGATTTCAGTGATTTACCTATACTAATATTTACAGGGTAGACTAAAGTCCCTTCAAAATTATGATTATATGCCTTCTATCCTAACATTCTCTGGCAAAGTGACCTGACAAATGTACATATGACTATTCTATCAAAGAATGCAAGCATGTTTCATCACAATTTATGTATGTATTTCCAGTTCATACTGGAAGAAAACAATACTCTGAGGAGCCGGTAAAAAATGCCTTCATATAATAGTCTGGAGCACTAAGAATTTAACAGCAGTGCTTATTTTCAAGACAGTAATACAGAATAGTGTTAGAAGACAAAAGAGTATTCCTCCATTTTCTTGAGGAAAAAAATGTACATATTTATGGTATATTCCTGTTCTTAGCAAGTAAGACTTACTATCTGCTAAGAGAAAAGCCAGTAAATTTATTATCAGAAAGAGAATATGCACTCGAAGGATTGCAGACAAAAATTCTGGGTATTTCTTTTAAATATTTACTGAAAACTTCAGGAAAATTTTTACATTTCTTTTTATATATGATAGATAAAATTAGCAACTCTAATATAATAGCATTAACATATGCTCTCTACTATTTCAAAGCAATTCAATCATTGTTATGCAGTTGCTTTCCACCCACCAACAAATCCACGCTCTCAAAATAAATGGCTAATATGTAAAAATAAATAAAAATTTACATATCTTACATGCAATGGATAATGAATAGCATGGTCAAACCCAAACAGCATGCATGAAGGCATTGGCATGGCAGGGGAGGTATTTATGAAGTTCACATTCCATTCCAACACACAAAGGAACAGAGAAGAAAAGAAATGGTAAAAAAAGAAAAATAAAAAAAAGCCATCACATCAAATCAAAATCAATAGTCATTTCAAATGATAACCTGGGCTAGCCATAGTCAAGGAGTCCCAAAGACAAAATAGTCAATTTTAACAGTCTGTCAAAATTCAAGTATGCATTAACTGTTGGTTCTTATTCTTTTTAAGGCTTATGTTACACCACTGCACATTTCTTATATAATACTTATTAAGGACTTTTAATAGGCAAAGAAACAAAGCATCTATAAATACATTCTGTGATGTGCCTGAAGCAAAAAGAAAACCACTCGAAATTAGAATATTTTTAAACTCATACTTTAAATTGAAGACTATTTCCCTCTTACATCTTTTCCCTCCAAGAATGTGTTTTTACCAGTATTTGGGCTCCATAATTTTTATTTCCAAGGTTGCCATTTAGTGGAGTTTATTCCAAGCCTCGAAGAAACAAACTTACATTTCAGTTTGCTCTTCTCCTTACCCAGTCATGCATGTAACATGACTGGAATAAGCACACCGCCACATTCACCAGCACGACTTAACAAAACAGAAGGAAATCACTAGCAATGAAGCATGCAAACAAAAGGAGTGCAATCCACTTTCAGCATGACAAATAAAGGCAAGGATCTATAATTTCGATGAAAACTCAAGAAGGAAACAAAGAAAGAAAGAACTGGTGCAGCAAAAAAAAAAAAGTGGTAATTAAAATATCATTCTCATGTGTTTTGGGAGGTCAGTATTCTCACAAATTCTATGGAAGGGGAAGGCCTTCTTTGCTGTGTTGCAGGAACCTAGTTCCTACTCTTATCTGTGGTACTAATGAAGACAGGCTATTAGGCTTTTAAAAGAAATGATGATAAAAAGTCAGCAAAATCCTGGGCCACAGATGGAGACAAATGAGCATCTGGAGTGGATGGGAGCCCAGAGCTTTTCCAGTACTGCACCTCACTGGGCAGCAAGCACAGCCAGGCAAACCCAGCACCAGCCAAATCACACCACAGCACGCTGAGGAGCCAGGCATCCTCAGAAAACAGATTTTTTTATGTTCTAGTGCTGCTTTCTCCAGTGCACAAACAAAAAATCCAGCACAGAGGTGGCCTTCTACATGTGGTATAAAGGCCACCTGAAATTTGGTGAAATCATTGAGTTGACTTAAATCAGTATTTTACACAACATTTCAGTGGTGTTGCTATGCAGGCCACAAGTCTTGCATTACAGATTCCCATATGTGTAAGAAATTAACATAACATACTGTATTTAAGTTTACTATTTTGATAGTTACATAGTTAATTTATTTCTTTAATGATTTTTATGTTTTCACTAAGTAATTTCTGCTCAAGGGCTGCGATACATAAACAGGACTAGTTTCCCTGTTCAGATTAACAGCAACTAATTCTCTGGAGATGGGTCTGCTAAACTGAGAAACCCAGTGTAAATAGCAGATAGAACATATACCCTACCCTGACTTCCCCAGGAAAAAACCTGAACAGCTCATTCAGTCATTTTATACAGCATATACCGTACAATAAAACTTGCCAATAAAGTCATAAGAATGATCTTCTGATCTTCCCTTGACTTTGGGTTTATGCAAGCAAAGCCAGCACAAGCAGTCTCTTTTTATTTCCAGTCTTCAAATTAATTTCAAAATCCAAAGAAGAATTTTTACAGCATGACTCTAATTAGCACCTATTAGTAAAGCACCATAATTTAATGGAATGCCCTTCACTACAGCCGATAGCATGTTTTCTATTGTTTAAACAAGGAAGGATGCAAGCTTCATGCTTTGGAAGCTGTTTGTCACAATAAACAATTCTCTAGTTAGATTTTTCCTAGTAAGCAGGGCAGAAGCTTTCTAATTGTATATCCAGGTCTATGCATTCTAATGCACTAATCACCTCCATCCACAGTTACCTGTACATTGGGTCTCCTTTTTCTCAATTTAACTTTTGGTATGCCCACACCAATTTGCTGAAGTAACAAAAAAGCAGTAATTTATATTTTTGCACTGTTAGTAAACAGCCTACTTATAGAATAGAAGGTTTTCCTCAACATCTGTGCTCTCCAGTGTACATTTACTGGAATCACAGACTAGCCCTCATTCTGATCAGGAGTTCTGAGCTTTCTGTCAGAATTACATACAAGTTTTGTCTAGGGAAACAAAAACCAGACATATGTTAATGTGAATTAATTTAACAGAGAGATGTCCCTCCCACATACTCTGACAGCATAAAATATAGAAAGCAGAGTTCACTTTTTGTTTTGTTATATTTGCTCTTCAAACTCAACTCTTCTTTATCTTAAGTAACCACAAACTAGAAGACAAAATACTGGACTTCACTGAAGGCATATGGAGTTTTAAAACTATCATTAAACGGATTTTGGTCAGAACCATAGTAAAAATGAACAAAAGGATGCTAATCTTTAGAACAGACTGGGAAGTTGAATTATTTACTATTTTCAAAATCTAATTAGGATTAAGCTTGTTAACACATGCTTAATGGACTCACTTCAGTGACTATGTTTATTTGGTGGCATAACCACCTGTTCTCTCCCAGGACAATGGGAAAAATACATGCACATACAGAGAGATACACAAAAAAATTTGCAGTGAAATATAAAATTAAACACTTGTAATATAACTACACAAACATAAAAAATGGCATTTTAAGCGGTTTAAAACTATATTAAACTGAAAAATAATTAAAAAAAAGGATTTCTCATGTTATGCTTTGACATAGTTTTTATGTGCAAAGTTTTTGATGCCAAAGTTTTTGATGATTTTATTAAGCTTTTGAACTTGTTTTTGTTAACTTTCATCAGTTGTGTAAACAGCTTTACAAGTTCTAAATTTCTAGGGCCTTCTTTCTGTGAGATGATAGTGCAAGAAAACTTATCAAAATATTGTGTTGAACCAGTTGTGATCTGAGGAAATAGATTTTCAGAAGGAAAGCAGAAGACATTCAGAAGAAGGAAGCGTTGAAAGTCTAAGAAACCCTCACCTCTTCAAAGATAAAGACGTAGTTATGTTTTAGTTTAGATCTATTGAAAAATTGCTGGCAGAGAGGGTTAAGATGTTGTTGGTTAATATGTTTACGGCTACCAGGAGGTTCAACTGAAATTAATATGACATGTTAAAGAAACTCTATGAATTCTAAATAATCTGTCTTTGCAGTGTACCTTAGTTTTAAAACGTAGATCTTGTATCAGTCTGAATAGCATGCACCACCCAAAACAAACTGGGAGTGAAAAAGTCTAGTCTGTGTAACTGTTAATAACAACAATAACAATAATAATATTGCATATGCTTAATATTACATTTAGACATTATTCTACAACATAAAAATTATCACTTATAAAGTATCCTGTTTTAAGCATAATCTAAATCAAATATTTGAGCAGTATGGGAAAGCGTTTCTAAACTTCCATATCCTTTTAGGAAGAAAATTATACAAAGCAATCATGACAATTAGCATCCTAATAATCCATCTCAGACTGCCAATCCATCTCAGATGAGCTGAGTTTTTAACTATCAAAGATTTTTGTTCTCCAGTGTTATGATGCTATACTGCAGGATAACAGCATATACAAGATGAACATAATCCATATCCATCAGTTTCTCACAAGAATAAGCCTAAAATGAGAACTGCATTGCTTCTTCTTATATTACTCCTGTTAATGAAAAGATAGATTAATTTGCATATAAGGAAAATGTAAATAGGCCACTTGTCATCATCTGAATTACTGTAATCTCTAACTGAGAAAAGACTGGGTCAGTAATGATGCATATATTTGTCTCCGAATATTTCACCAATCAAAATTGTTAAATCAAAACTTTTATTTCTTAACACATGAAAACCCAATACAGATATCCAGAAACTGAAGTCCTTCTCAATTCTGAAGTCTATATAAAAACCTTATTTTCCATTTTTTCCTTTTATTTTTTAAAAGAGACTATAAAAATAACTCAAAAGGGATATTTCATTAATAGTTACGATCAAGTTATTCTTTCTTTTCTTCAGAAGCACTTCTTTCTTTCTTCTTGCATTATACACTTGGCAAAAGATTTCAAACATATTAATTAATTCACCAGGAAATTAATTCAAATATTCACAAAGCAGATTTCCCCCAGCTTAAGAATTAAATTAATTACTGAAATATGTAGATGAATTCTTAATTTCTTTTTCTGTCTTTGACAATCGTAGCTATGACAGGACTATAGAAGGAAAGTTGCAAAGGTCAAGGACTTGCTGCTAATCTAGGAATGTGGCTGGGAGGAAAAAAGTGATCATATACATCCACTTTATAAAAAAAATTATATTATTTCCTTGCCTAAAGGCAGAAAATACCAGCTTCCATCAAGAAGTTTCTCTCCAGTTTACTGTGTGCTGAAAGATAACATAGGAGTAGGGTACCACTAAAGCTTAAAAGACCTACTAGCGTTATTTATCTGTGTATTGGCAGCTTGCATTCATCTTGGTCATTCATATAAGGTGAAGGGCCTTGGGGAAAGACATATGAGGAGCTGCTGAGAGTACTTTGTTTGTTCAAGCTGGGGAAAAGGAGACTGAGGGGAGATCCCATTGGGGTCTTCAGCATCCTCACAAGGGAAAGTGGAGGGGCAGGCATTGATCTCTTCTCTGTGGTGACCAGTGACAGGACCCAAGGGAATGGCCTGAATTTGTGAAGGGGTGGTTTAAGGTGGATATTAGAAAGAGATTCTTCAATCAGAGAGTGGTTGGGCACTGGAACAGGCTCCCCAGGGCAGTGGTCACAGCACCGAGGTCAAGAAGCATTTGAATGACACTCCCAGGCACATGATGTGACTCTTGTGGATGGTTCTTTGCAGGGCTAAGGGTTGGACTCGATGATCCTTGTGGGTCCCTTCCAACCCAGCATATTCTGTGATAAACAGCTCAAACCATGTTAATGAGATAAATGTTCATGTTGACAACTGAACTACATGGACACATTCTTTAGTCTCTAATACTTACAGGGATTCATTATTGTTTCTAACTTTTTATCTGTAAAGAATCTGTACAGTTCTGTCCATCCAGAGTGATTTTTCTATTTATTTTTTACTTAAATAAATTTTAACTTTGCCTTTTATATAATGCTCCGTTTGTGCTCTTTAAATTCAAGGGACAAAATTTACTGAAGTTTTGTATCGAATGGAATTAAAATATGAGAATTTTCAAAAAGCCCACTAAACAGAGGATTGTTTCATATGGAGAAACTTTTCATTAAAACAAAGATTAAACTTATGATTTCAGAAAAAAACCACATCCATTCGTATTGGAATTTCTCATCAAAATCAGAGTGACAAGTTATTTAAGAAGATATATGTAATGTATGTGTCTCCACAAGATCAGGATTCGGTTAATGGATAAAGAGCCAGACTGAAATATTTGGTTTTAATTTTCCTGAAATTTGAGGAAAATTGTGTCCTAATCGTATTTAGATAAAAATTTCATCTTTAAAGAAGAAAGACCTTTCTCAAGTTAAACTACTAAAAATCTAACATTCTGGGAATGGGGTGCTCAGCTATGTCCATCACAACTCTGCAGCTCAGGTTTCTGCTCTGGTAAACAGAAAATAACCAAACTAAATACAAAAAAACTTCACATGTATAAATGTGCATGCAAAATATGTATTTTTTTTATTTTATTGATAACTAAATTCAATACAAGCCAAAGCTGGCCTTTGTGCTGGTTAAGTGGATTTGAATAAAACCATACACGTACCATAGATTTTCCTGACACCCACAAAACTGAGAATTCTTTGCTATTGCTCTCTTGGACTTTCAGCAGCTTCTAGTTTCTGATTTTTTCTGACAATGCCCCTTTATTATAGAGAAATGAATTAGAAGGTGTTTCATACCTTTGGTTGGAGATTTGGATGCAGAAGCACATACCCATTAGGATCAATGGCAAAATAGTAACCGTTTGGACAAAGCTGAAAGGCAGAAATTAAGTTTACCATTACAAGGGTTTAAGTAATAAAGAAAGAGTAATTAATGGTTTTCAAGAAATTTTCACACTGTGGAAAATACACTGCCTCAGGCATCATAAAGTATCAGATACTAACATAGAAAGGATAATTTCTTAATATTTACTTTTTAGGATCATAAACTTGGCCTGATGGGAACCTTTGGAGGTCAGCTGGTACAACGCTTCACTGAAAGCAAAGATAACTTCAACTAAAGTCCAACTTTGAAGTTGGATTAAGTTTCAAAGAGTCTTTGAATACCTCCAGTGGCAATGCCACAAACCCTCTGGGTAACCTGCTCCCTTTTTTTCCTTAATTCCAGTTGGAATTTCCATTGCCACACTTATCTTGATTGCCTCTTGTTGAGGCAATGTCCAGGTCCATTTTCTCCATAACTCTCATTAGGTAACCCATTAGGTTTCTTCCTCAGCCTGAACCCATCTCTCTCATCTCCTTCTTGTGTACCATGTACTCCAGACCCTTGGTAAACTTAGTGGCTCTGTGCTGGATCTCAGTGTATTTCTTATACTTAGAAGACCAAATTTGGACACAGTACTCCTGATGCAGGTGTTCACTACACAGTTGGTCTTCCTTACTGCCAGGGCAAACTTCTAACTTATGTTCTGTGTGTCCTCCATGACTCCCAGGTCCTTTCCTGCCCTTTGAGGCACTCTGTCCCAGCCTTTACTGTGGCATGGGATTACTCCATTCTAGATGTAGGACTTTGTATCTGCCTTCAGTCAAATTCGTGATGTTCCTTTGCTTTCTCAGCTGTTGTTTTCCACAGTACTAGTTATTTGGTCAGAAATTTCAGCACTAGATGTCTACATATATAAATCAATCATACTGAGTAGGGTACAGACAGACATGTATATTAAAGAACTTTTCTATAAAGAACTGTCCTATAAAAATGCCAAATATTATTATCAGCTGAAATGATTGTGTACTCTACACTAAGAACCAAACACTCAACTAAAGGGCAGTGCTTTAAGCTACAGGAAAATAATTACTTGGAATATGTCCTCCAATGTAAAAGTTGAGTTTTACAGATGCATCCTGATGGAGAGATCACACAGAAACACATATGGCTGGAGAGAAAACCACCAGAAAATGTACAACAATGGAAAAGAATATAGGAAAAGAAGCCTGCTGGTTTTTTGACTCAAATCCAGTCATTACTGTATGACTTATGAAAAAGCATGCACAGAAATCAAATATAAATCATACATAAAGAGAAACCACCAATGTAAGCAGCTTACCGTAAATCGGGGTGTCAGTTTTTTTATGTCCTCCAAAGAGACATCGACCCCCATTACTCCAAGAATCAGTTGATTCTGGTAAGATCCCAAAATGTTAGTATATGTTTGACATATTTACAATGCAGAATAACTGCAGCAGTCAGTAAACTTTTATTTTTGCCTTCATCTCTTGATTGGCAGGTACAATTTGAGAGGTTGCCTATTTACTTATGTGTCTATTCTAAATATTTTAAATAATGTCAAAGTAATTAAAAATAAAATTTAATAAATTCAGAATTTAGTATAGAATATGAAAATTGTTTATGAAGATGAATATGGATAATTTCCTGGATGAATAAACAATATATGTAAGAACAAAAGAGGTGAAAGCAAAAGTGATGCAATAATATTGCCAATTATGTAGATACTAAACTACTAGTACAAACATAGAGCTACTTTTGCATATTTAGGTTTGGCAATTGGTAAGTGAGATCTCAAAACAATTAACTCTTTTGGCTATGGTATAAAGATGAATGAAAAAAAATCACAACAAAAAAAAAGTGGTTATAAGAATCAACAGCATTTGAAATTAGGGACTCAGGCACTATATTTACTTCACTTGTAGTTTATTTTCCTACTACAGAACAGGAGAGCAGTCATTTACATATTATCACCTGAATCCCTTCTCCATATTAAATAAATTTGTAATATTTATTGGAGGAGGTATCTTGCAGTCTGTAAATAAATTGAGGTAGAGATACAAGTTGAGCTGTTTCAAGTTCTCTTCTTGTTCCTCTGTACTAGGCAACATCTGTTTTATTTCTCAGAAAGACATCCTTTGATAATCAGTAGTCTCACTTTGAACCAGATTCAGTCAATTCCAGGCATTGTCTTGTGGATAAGATTACGAAACTTTTTGTTTGGTTGGTTTGTTGCTTTGTTTTAAAAGGGACACTAAGAGAACTATTCTGAAGGTGAATAAAAGAAATGCTAGTGATCAAATTCTCATTTATTCACTCGGAGTCTACATAATACCTGAGAAACTGAACCAAGGAATATCTTGTCTAAATTTCTGTATATTTTGACCTGAATGAACATGAGTATCACACCAAATGTACAATATTTTACCATATGCTGCAAAGCATATTCTAGGTCTGTTTTTAAAAAAGCAGCATTTTGATTTTGTGAAGAGGACATGAATTGGTTCCATCTCAGACAGTCATAGGAATGGGCAATTGTATTTATTTAACACTTAAAATTTAAACTAAATATACAGTCCTCTTTTCTATTAGCATTACAACCAACTAATTTAAATTACCTATATAATTGTCTTTTACCCTGAAATGTCATAGCTTCAGGGATTTGTTATAAATTTATCTGGACATTCCTTTCTTTGGCAAGGTCTAAATAATATCATCATCTACGTCCCATCTGTTGAGCACTTAATGCATTCCCACTGTCACCAAGTCACAATGATGGATCAAAAAATGTAATATCCTGAAACTCAGAATGACAAAAAGGGGTGCACTGTATTTCCTTGTCCCCAAAAGGTTATCAGGTCAGTAGATATGACCCTTTTGTTTCTGCTATAGAAGACAATTAAACGTAAAATGCTCTATGGAAATACACATTTTTCAAGGTCTTTAACAATAAATGTAATTAATTTAGTTTAAATAACTGCTGCCTTTTTTTTCTTTTATTTTTTCTTTCCCTTTAAGGAACAGCTTACAATTTTCCCATTTTGTTCCCTTGTTAGATTGAAGACGGGTAGAGTTCCTGTAATCACAAGGCCCAGCTCCTAGGAAATAGGGGAAAAAAGACCTTTTAGTTAAAAAGCAAATATTGAACTATAATATATTGGAACAATCCAGGGATTAGCACAAGGTGGAGAGAAGTGGACTTTGTAGGAGAATAAGAGAAATGGGGATGAATCAATGGAAAAGAGAGAGGACATTATTTAGAAGTAACATTGAAGATACATAATGAAACAGGAGGGGTATGTATGGGGGATAACACCATCTACCCCCCTCTGCAAAAATAAAAGAAAAAAAAGTAGAGTTAAAGAGGAGAATAACTGTGAATAAATTATGCCTAACTGATAAACCTAAAAGTATCTGAAAATTCTGGGATTATCTTGCAGAAAATGATGCAAGAGCAACAGAGTAATAGAATCGAAAGAAACAGGGCTATAAAAGAGGTGTGAATTGCTACAAATACATCAAATTGTTAAAGACAGCCTTGAAAGCAAGCCTCAAAAGAAAGCATCTCTTTAGAATTTGATAACCTGGGTTTAAGGACAATTCTAATGTGGCCTCATGTAATACACTTTGCACTACTTTAGTCTGAGCCCCAAAACAGTTGCTAGACAGTAAGAGCAAAAGGATAGGAATAAATCCAGTGAGGCACAATCAGGAGAATTTTAAGCCCTACATGAGGAAATTGTTTTAGGGAATTTAAGATAATGAACCAATGTGATAAGTTAGTCCCACTCCCTCATAAAACCGAGAATCAGGAAAAGGCTTCAGAGTGGGTTAGATACACCTGTGCCATTATGCTCTCATCTGTGATGAGAAAGTCCACAAATTTCAGCCTTTACTTCAATAGTTTACCTTGTGTTGTCCTACTTTATTTATATATAACTATATATGTGTGTGTGTACGTATGAATACACACACACAAATATATATATAATTATATATACACAAACCCATATATATAACACATGAATGGAGAAAAGATTGAAGGAAAGACTGAATGAACTCACTAGTAACACAACAAATGCCTGCAGGTATCACTTGTTTTACTTGACTAAACCGATCTCTCTCTATCTTTAGTTACAAATTTATCTTTGGATTTACAACAGGATGTGTACAGTACATACGAACTTTCGTCATCACATCCTGTATGTTTCCAGTCAGTACTTCAACAATAATCAAAAAAACATGGATAATGAACTTCTGGCCATTGAAATTCCAAATTAAAACTAGTTCCTCCGTGTCATGCTCAGTTATATTGATGATAAAAATCATATGTTGATAAAAATTTTACAGTAATACCAATGGATGGGAAGAAGAGGATTTTTTACACGACAGTAGATGACCATGTGAACGTGCATAAATACGTGATTCCAAATACCATTTTACAGTATTTTTTTCATTGTTAGAGTCATTAAGAAGAATGTTATCTAGAGCAACAGATTACAGTGCTGCTAACAATACTTTGACTTTTGTAGTTTCCCAAAAATGTCTGTTTTACAAGACCAAAGTGATAAATTCAGCAGTAAGAAAGCATTTCATATATCTTGTTGTTTATTGCCCACTTCTATACTTTCCAGTTAAAGAAACCATTACCTTGAGCAAGCAAGCAATTACAACCATGATATCTTAAAGATCCAAGTTCAAAATCTGTACAAATACCAAGTAATACTGACAGGTTTCGTTCTACCTGGAATACTATTTAGGGAAAAAAAAAATCAGAAAAATTAAGAATTCCTCATCAGTAATGTAATAAATTACCTTTACTGCAGCAGGTACAACACCGGAAAACTATCTCCTTCTTTTTTCTTTTCTTAAGTTGAGGACAACAGTGACCTACGCTTAAAAATCTGTGTACAATAATTTGCTTCTCTCTGTTAAATTTCAGGACACTTAGAAGGATACTAGGTGCAAGTACTGACCACCATGCTAGAAATAGCTCTGTTCCTAGAGGTTGCTGTATTGAACTGTATGGATGTTAGAAATACAAGAATATTATGTTTAAGAAATGTGTAAGAAATTGGATGCTCTGGAAAAGAGACACATGTGGTTACTGATTTGCTAAAATTCTTACTTTACTAGAGATAAATAGAGATCATACCAGAGCATCCAGATAGACATTTGTCCATTGGACTTGTTTGGCCTTCTCTCCAGCTAAAACCATCGGTCTTCCCAAAACATCCAGATATTCCTGCCAAAAAGTGTAATAAACTTATCAGAAGGCAGTTAGTAGATCAAAAAGCCCAAACAATATAAAAACAAACAATAATGAAATAAAAACAATATCAGGAAAAAATTTCAAAATTCACCACAATTTATAAGAGTAGCATTTAATTGTTGCTTTAAAACTGTACTACGCAAAGTTTCCGTCTTCAGTTTGCAGTATTTACCAAGAACGTAATTTCTGTATTTCAGCCTCAGTCACATGGACCTAACCCATCCATAACCACCACTCTCTTTCCATGAAGTGAGAATTACAACTATTTTTATTCCAAAATTAATTGCTAATGACATAATGAAATTGCAAGCAGATTGCAGAACCTTCAACCCAGAAGAGAGAGTGGGCGATGGAGGGTGAGTGGTGTAACAGTTGGGTATGTTAACCTTCTACAGCAACAACTTGCATAACTTCTATTGAAATAAAAAAAAATCAGAGTTATAAAACCTCATAGTTCCTGCCTTCCTTCAGTTTGGGAGTGCAGCTAACTCGGGTGATCTTATGAGATGTCAGATTTCTGGACTGCTTTGGCAGTGGATGCCATCAAACTTGTTTCTATTTTCAACCTTTTCTATTTGACTGAACATATTAGGGATACTTCTTGCCAGACACTATCTGGAAGAGTTTAACAGAATCAAAGAACTCTTACTCAAGCCAAAAAAGGACTCTTATTTTCTGCCAAAAAATATCATGCCTGGCCTTGGAAGGACAAAGAAGTGCCATGATATTTCTCTGCTGTTCTGGACATGTGAGTACATGGACTTTCAGACAACTGAGAAGAATACTTGCTCTTCCACACTGTCAGTTTGGATCCCATCATGTCATGCCAGAGTCCTGTGCCCTTAGTTAACTACATGCATGTCTGCTAAAATATTCCTGCATTTTTTTGAAGGGAAAAATGGTGTCTCTTGCAGAGGTTGGATCCATCCAGGAACCTCTTCTATAAGCAGGATTGCAGTGCATCTGCCCAGATGAGTTTAGAAACTCTAGCAGGGCTGTACCCTCACAAACATTCACAGCCTTCTCCATGTGATACAAACCCTTTGGACCATGTTGTAAGTATGGCAGGAGGTGGACTACGAATGTCTTGTCACATTATAAAAAAATTACTGCTTTTGTAGAACTTTATAATAAAATTGCTGTCATGTCTCAGCATCAAAGTTTGAGGGACTATATAAGGCCCAGAGAAAAATTGAGACAAAAACATAGTCATTTTGCAGAGGTCTGCAGGATACAGAACACTTCAGGTGCTCTGTTGTGTGCACATGGTCAGCCTCTTTAGAGGATGTTAACATGACAAGTATGCATGCAGGCTGCTGTGGACCAGCTGGCCAGGGAAACAGGGACCACATTTTAAATTAGCTCACTGCAATCACTTAAAAGAAAAAATTAGAATACTTTAACAGAATAATCCCTCATATGTAGAAGAAAGCCTTATTTTTTTCTCTGTTTTTAATGTAGTGCAACTTAAAATTTAATTGATTCAAGAAGATGGGAAAAGAAAACATATTTAAGAACAGGAATTACTCCACTTCTGTGTGTTAAAACTGATCTGGATTTGGCCAAAACACTTACCTGGGTGTTTATTCTTATGGCTCCAATAGATGGAATTTCATAATAATAACCTAAAGTTTGGAACAGAAATAATGTCATCTTACTACAATATTGTGCTAGTCTCTTAATCTTGAGGAATTTCATTTAGCTTGTAATTTCTAGTTTAATTTTTATTTGAATTATCATGTATGAATACTTTTCTAGTAGATGCCACCACAATGCGTGGCCGTATATGATGGATCCCCACACCATTCAGACCAAGCTAGTTTCTCTTAGGCAATGAGAGTACACGATGTGTTTCTTTTGTCTGTTTTGGTTAAGGCTAGATAAAGTACTGAGTTTGTACTCATGAAATCCCAGTTACTATGATGAGCAAGTATATTTAATGGTTATTTTAATATGCTGTGATAGCAACATAATTATATGCTGAATGCATATAGGAATGCAAATATAGCTATGGTCTGCCACAAGAGTGAACTCGTAGTATAAAAATAGAAGGTATTCTGTGGAAAGGATGAAAAAATCTAATGGGTATTCCTTCTAACTAAACATGAGAAATTTCTTTATTCAGCTTTGATTCTATCACTTATTTGTTTGAATTAAAAATATTGCCTATATGAACTAATGAGACTAAAGCCAAGCACTGAGATTTATCTGCAGACCAGGAAAATTTTAAGTCAAATTGGAAAGCAGGAGTAGAGGATTGGAGAGGTAAGAGTGCAGAGCTTAGTCATTTCCTTTGCCCTACGCACAAACTTTTAATTAAGGAAAAATGAAATGAAACTGCTTCTTTGGATGTTCAAACAAATAATCACATCAATTTTGGAAGAAGATTATGATCATTTTGCCTCAATGGCATAGGTGGTTATGCTTTAAGCCAGCTGGTTCTCATTTGTTTTAAAACAATGGAGGTCACATGCACACAGTATTTTGAGATACAAGGATGCAAGTAGAAAAAAATTCTGTTCAAAACACAAACATCAATTTTCTGTAGTTATCTGACAATACAGTCGGTTCTTCATGAAGTTGCAGTATCTTCTGCAAAACTTGCTAACATGCTGAGGGATTCAAAAGGTTGTCATACGTGTACTATTCATACAGGCTATGGATTCTTCTACATATTTTTTTTTCTGTATATATACCTTTCCCTCATCTTTCAACTATGTTATTCTTCTGCCTGAGCATACCTTTATCTCCTTCCCCAGCAATCTTAATTTTCAAGACCCTTTGTAATCTATCTCACCTCTAACCTCTTGCTTCTCACTGATTTGTAAAATACTTTCACATTTTCACTCAGGCCTGGAAACTGTTGTATTTAAAATATGAGCAAATATTGTTTGATAAATTATATATTTTCTATTTATCTGTATTTATATCTTATGCCTTGTTCTATAGTTATATTGTAAGGTATTTGAGATACCTCTTTCTCACACTCTTAAAGTATTTCTCAGAATATTTTTCATGTGGAAATTTAAGGTAGAAATTCCATGTAGAAAGCATTTTACTTCCTTGCTTTCACCCTTTTTACTTTTTTTCCCCCTACATAAATCAGGATAAAAATAGAAAATGCAAGATGCTCTCAGAAGCTAAGAAATCACAGCAAGAATAATTTTGATATTTTCATTATAAAAGGGAAAAATATTCTAAGTAATCTGATCCCTTGTAAGTTTTGGAGAAAAACAGAAAGAAATCTAACCAGCCAACTAACCAAACAAAAACCCTTTTGTCCATACCACTTAATTTAAAACAGCTTTGCTTAATTTCTTATCTGTCATCAGTTCCATCTTTTCATAGATGGCTATTATAACAAATATTCTCAAAAGTGAACAATAACATTTTATTAATATAAAAACTACTGTGGTAATTTTTGTACAACATGAAGTTTTAAATAAATTACTCAGAAATAAACATAGAGGCTTCTTGTTTACAGATATTTTTTCATATACACATATACTTTTTGGAACTTTTATTAACAAATACAATAAATCTAAAACTCCAGCTGAAAAATCTGCCACTTTTAGAGAATAGCTAAGATATCACCTATCCAAAGATCTAATGAAGATCAGCTTCAGAGAAAAACACAATACCTTTATTTTCACAGGCCATCCACTGTATGGGTCCTTTGTCGTAATTATGTTGACCAACAGAAAATGTGAATACACGTACCTGTGCAAGTTAAAAGCAACGCCTATTACTTAACTATACATAATTTATTAGCTGTGACTCTCAAGTTAATGATACTTGGATTTTTCTTACAAATGAACAGAAAAACAAAATAGTGAACTTTCCAATTTTTTCACCATAATAGATATGAAAGATAAAAGATATAATAAATTATGCCATTTTATGTATTCCTATTATTTTGTTCATGAAGTAGAACTCAAGAAGAATGTTCTTTCATGTATCTTTCACACTTCAAAGGTCTTACATTAGTGATCGTTCATGAAACACTTAAATTCTTAGGGTTTTTTCCTAAGGTGGTAATTATAACTTAGGTTTTGTTAAATTATTTGACATAATATTAGATGTTTACCAAAGAATTGAAAAGAATATATGCATGGCAGTAGAATTCAAAGCAATGCAAACCAGGACTTTTTAGGATATAAAATAATTTCAGGGAAAAAAATATGAAATTTCCAGATACTACAGAAAACAAATTCTCATTTTGCTGAGACTTCAGTCTTTTTCATGTAAAACCACTAAATTACTTCAACGGATTTTCACAGAAGGGTTAAGTGTCTGATATTTTACTTTAAGCTCTTCATATTAATTTAAGTTATATGTTTTATTAGCATAATTCTATTCTGTTTATACAATGCAATTCCAATCTATCTCAGCAAGTGTAAGGAGTTGAGGGTTTAGAAAGAATTCACCAAATTCTCTCCAAGTTTTGGACTGAGAACAGGCTTTTCAGTTGAAATTATTTTCCATGCAAATCTTTTAATTTGAATGAGAAAACTTTAAAACCAATCCTGGTATTGCTGTATAAATATTAAAAATACTACAAGACACATAGAAAAATTACAAATATTATGTTTCAACTTCTGGCTGAATATTTTGCTCAGAATCTGAGTGTTTCTGTAAAAGTTGAAAAAATAATTTCCCAACAGTTTTAATAAACTGTTCACTATATTCATATCTCTCTGTCCAATGACCAGACTGCTTTTCCTTTTCAGGCATCTCTTTCTTTATGGATCTTTAACTTCACCTCTTCAATGTGCAAATCACAGATCATGACATGAAATCAGAATACAAATTTCTTTCTCTGGAACTTGAAGACTATGATTAAAATCAAAACATAGTACAATTAATTTGCATGCAAGCTGTAACTGAGTAATAAGGTAGTGTTTTCTTTAACTAATATTCACAATATAAAATTGCAAAGATTCCCTGTAAACTACTGATCACTGCTAAATTTTTTAATGACAACATATACAAATTTTCATCACATTATCCAGCATGTACAATCAGTACCTAAACCTTCATTTCTCAAATAAGCAACAAAAATTGTGTGACATAATCAGAGCTTAAGTATTAATGAAGAGCTGTAGGAATAGCTCTACATCATCCATCAGCAGCTAGAAAATGGTGAATATTAATCTTGACCCCTATATGCAAGGAGGGCAAACAAAGCTTTGTGCTAGATGTCATTTTTAATTAACAATATATTTTGATTTGCTTTATCCATACAAGCATTAAAGCAACTACTCTGCTGCACTGAATACTATTCAAGTGCTCGTTTTTTAGTTTAAGACTTCTCTGTATAGGGTCATTCCCCAGTAAAAAGTCAAGCTAATCACATTTCTGGTTACACAGACAGATCTGGGAATGACTGTGCCTTAGTGATGGTAAAATTTTGTTCTCATAGTTCATATGGATTCAGACAGATGAAAAATACCTTCTATTACCTTGAAAATATCACTATTAATAGTGCAAACCTGAGTTCACCTGGTATGTTTACATCTGATTTATTGTTTTATTACTATACAACATTTGCCATCCCCCATTTATGCTTGACTTCTCTTACAAATTGTCAGCTATAATTTTTCTAATGGATCTTTCTGCTTCTATTTAATCAATATCTTTTTTTTGCAAATTTGAATATCACGATAGTATTTTCTATTGGCACCTCTCAGCTCACAAGGTATCCGCCTACTAAACCCCTGGTTTTTTTTGGACTCACACTGCTTCCAGTTTAATGTCCACTAAATGCTTGATTCAGATTACATTCTCTTCAAAAACTATGGAAAAACGCCACTGAAGGCCACTAGTTAGAGACTTTAGAGATCTGATATTTCTTTTGATTTAAAAGTTACTAAATCATGTGGGTTTTCTTGTGTGTGTATAAAACACATGAGTCAATTAGACTGGACTGTCTAGCATTTGATCTCAAATGTAAAAATGAAACACTGAATAGGATTCAAGTTGCGAAATGGTATGTAATTTAGGGAAAAGAAGCAGTGTGTTAAATCTGCAACAAATCTATAAAGAATTTAGTATTTAAATTATTGACAACAAGCAGGCGACAATATATCTGATTTACTGTTCCTTGGATAATTAACAGAGATAAAGAACTGCAATGAAAATTGGAGTTTTTAATTGTTACTTGGTTTGGCAAGAGGGTGGGATATTCAAAAGAGTATTCTTTTTCCTATTGCCTCATCTGGAATTGAGTAGAATGACAGACCAGCTGGAAAAATGAGTCAGCAAGTCAAACTAAACAAGCCAATTTTAGCAAAAAAACCCCATGCTCTGTGCTAAAATTTTCTGTGACAGGACCCAGAGTCAGCCAAAATACTGAGATGCATCTCTCTATATGTTTTCCTTATAGACATCTCTCCAAAGAAGACAATGGGCTGTTAAATTAAAAAAAAAAAAAGAGGATTTAGTTTCTTTTAATAGGGAATTTACGACTGAGAATACTTGGAGCAACTAGATCAGACACAATGGGCATGAGCACCTCTCCCTTTGCCTGTCCTTTAAGCTTGGTTTCAACCAGCTAAGTGGATTTCTGAGTTGAAGCAAACTGCCAATTAGTCTTTGATCCCAAGAAGTTGTTTTTCATCACCACTGAGGCCTGATTATTTCTTCTCTTTACTTCTCTGCAGCCTCTTAGGTTCTGTGTAAACCACAGTTCCTGGGTCCTTTTGCCATGGTGCTTCCTCTCCACCATCCACACCAGAAGACTAACATTTGTGTTTCCCAATCCCTTTCCTAGGGAAAGGGTAACCTTGCCTCAAGGGAGTTCTATTTATTCTCTTCATAAAGAAACACAACTTTCAAAGCACTAAAAAACAATGGAAGAATCAGAAAAACAAATAGAAGTTGTCACACTTTCTGATTTTCAATGAGACTGTTCAAAGTAAAGTACTTCTAGAAAACTTGTACTCTTAGAATTGAGAAGAACTGGAGACGGGCACCCGCTCTGCCAGCCCATTCAGGTACAGACTTCAAACCGCTCTGAAATATAAAAATCCTAATTTCTAACATAGGTAGTTCAAGTCCAGAGCTAATTCTCTGCATCTTCCTCGCTAATCTTGGGGAGAAAATAACAAAATCTTTTATTCTTTGTATTAATTATTTGCAGTATTGTATTGGGTCTGGCTGAGCTGGAGTTCACTTCCCCATAGTAGCCCCCACAGTGCTGTGCTCTGCATTGGCAGCCAGAAGGGTGTTGACAACACACTGGTGTTTTGGCTACTGCCGAGCACAGCACCAGCACTGTAACACTTCTTCGTCAATTGAGGGCAAGATCCTGGGAGGGGACCCAAGTAGGCCAGCTGACCCAAACTGACCAAACGGACATTCCAGACCATATGACGTTGGCTCAGATATAAGATCTAAGGCAAGGAGCACTAAGGCAGGCATTCATTGTCTCCAGTGGCTGCCTGCTGAGGAACCATTACATGTGCTGTGAAGCCCTGCTTCTCTGAGGTGGCCGACCATCGCTGCTGATGGGAAGTAGAGAATAAACCCTGCTATCTTTCACTTTGCTTTGCTTCCGCTTTAAATAAACTACCTTATCCCAACCCATGAGTTGTTTTCCATCCTACTCTCTCTCCTGTCTGGCTGGGAAGGGGAGTGATAGAGTGTCTGGCTGGGCACCTGGCGTCCAGCCAAAGTCAACCTGCCACAAGTATATAGTAGAGGAATATGCTTATTAGCAAACAAAACAAGTGTAGAATTAATGTCAGGACATTCAGACAGTGAGTGGCACAGGCTGTCCAGTGAGGCTGTAGAATCTGCCTCCTTTGACATTTTAAAGACCAGACTAGATGGCTTGATCTTTGACCTGACATTAGACTAGAGAGCTCTGGAGGTTCCTTCCAATCTGAGTTATCCTAGGAGCCTATGAAGGACATCAAAGGAATACATGCAAAAATCCAGCTCTTAATCAGAGGAAGTGGTAGACAGAAAAGAATGCTACAAATAATAGAGGAAGAATTACTGCATGGAAGAAAATATAATTGTCTAATTACAGAATTAATTTGTTATTTGTGTTTCTCCCTAGCAGAAGAAGATTTTAAGCACCGAGGTGAATAAAAAAGATTCTGACTACTGCAAATATTAAGGACAATGGCACTCAAGAGAGTTGTGAAGAAGATAAAAATGAAGAGATATCCATGAAAAGGCTGCTTTCCCTATAGATCTCAGTTGCTTTTTATCTGTTTTATTTCTTCATTTTGCTATTGGAACAAAATTAGGAAAGATTAAATTAGTTGTTTCCTTTGGGTAGATCATGTTATAGGTATTAAAGAAAAATGAACAGCTTGAGTGAAGTTAATTCAAATGGGTAACTAAGCACAAAGTACTTGCTGTTTAGGCTACTGCATGAGATTCTGGAAAGCAATGCCACGGAAAGGGACCTGGAGGTCCTAGTTGATGGCAAGTTGAATATGAGTCAGCAGTGCCCTGACAGCCAGGAGGGCCAGCCATGACCTGGGGGGCATCAGGAACAGCCTCGCCAGCTGGTCGAGGGAGGGGATTGTCCCGCTCTGCTCTGCACTGGGGCGGCCTCACCTTGAAAATCATGTTCAGTTGGGGCACCACGATATAAGAAAGATATTAAGCTACTAGAGAGAATCCAAAGGAGGGCAATGAGGATTCTGAAGAGTCTGGAGGGGAAGCCTTATGAGGAGTGGCCGAGGTCACTCGGTCTGTTCAGC